GCTGAAATAGAAGGGACTCAAAGATAATCTTGATTCCAAATAAGGTTGTTCTGGGAGCTTTGTCTTTGGACAGTTTGAAGGGTTGTTTTTTCATTTGTTTTAAATTTATCCTAGTCTTTTGGACTCCTTCCTGCCTTTTGTATAAAAACTAATGACATGAAGTGGAATTTATACTATACATGAAAAGAATAAATAAGTTCTTTCCACTTATTCATAACTACTATTCCCTGGTGCTTCCTCCTACATTATTGCTCCTTCATTAGCAATTGCTAAAGTATTGCTGTACCTTCATTAATAATGTTTTTATACAACGTGCAGTCTCTCTGTGACAAATAATATTTTATTAGTGTAAATAATGAGTTTTTTCTTGAATGAAAATGGAAATTAGTAGATCAGTTGTGTTACTTCTACTTCGGTTGAATTGAGTCTGATTCCAAAAGGTCCCTATAGTTATACTTAAAGACTGATACTCCTTAGTTACTACATTTCCATCTGTAGCCCAATCTTCATTAAAAATCAGATATTTGTAAGCTGCTTATATCCATGCTTTTTCTAATACTAGCATTAAGTTCACCAAGGTCTGTATTTGGAATTTGACTACCACTGCTGATACGTCTTATTTCACGAATTTTCTTTTAGAATTTAGCAATTTTTTTCATCTGGGGGAAAATAATAACTGTAAAAAGAGCCATCTGAATATAAAAGTAGTGTTACCTTCATCTGTAAAATCAGTTATCGCTTCTACTGTTTGAGAAGCATAGATAGCTCATTAAAAGTGAAAGAAAACTGACAGCGTGACAGCTTTCATTTACATTTCGATAGCTCCAAATGCAGCCTTCAGCACAGAACTAACTTCATCTTTTACTACATTTTCATCTCTCCAGCTAATAAAATACATATTTTTCTGGACCTCATTGCTATTGCTTCAGGCTTTGGTATTTTGAATGTTGTTATTATGTTTTCAGAGCAAGTTATAGCATAAAATATAAATAGAATTGTGGCAAAGAAGCAGTAAATTGACCCACATATACATTACTTTGGAAGCATATTTTAAAATTCATTATCAGAACTGTTTCTCTTGCTGATGCAGTAAATACTATGTCATATCATTATGTTTTGGAGGTAGAAAAAAAGGAATAGCTTGTTAAACATTGGTTTTAAAGTAAATGGGCACTGAAATGAAACTTATCTGTAAGAAGACATTTGTTAACATTCAAGGCATTCCAAAACTATATTAATCATTGCTTTTATCATGATTTATAAATCAACTTCTTGAAATGTCACTCAAAGTTCATTAGAAACTGCTTTTGTAAAATCCAACAGTGATGAAAAATATTACAGGAGAAATCCCTGTGAAATTCAACACCAATTACACAAATAAATTGACAGGAGTTAGCCAATGGGAAAGCAAGGCATATAAGGAAGTTGCATTTGTTCCACAGGTGTTAAGGAAGTCAGAAGATAATCCTGAAAGATTGCAAAGCAATAACTATTTCTTTCAAAAATTCCAAAGAAAAACAAGTATTTTAATGTAATTGAAAAAACATACTATTGAGATTATGCTTTTAGATCCACTTTTGAGTACAGCCATCCATAATATTAATGAGACCTTTTAATGAAGGGGAGAAAACACTCAGAATTCTCCCTTTGGATCTATTGACTGAACACGATTTAATCAGAGAATGTATCAGAGAGATGCTATCTCAAAACCTTCTTCACAACAGAATCATGTTTGTACAATCAGTCACCTACGCTGAGATTCAGAACACCACAGAACATATAACTACCCTGAGTTATTTTGAAATATAGCATGTCTTTTTAAAAATAACTAATATTCCAAATTAATTTACTTATTTACATTTAAAATAAACACAGAAGTTTTCCCATTCCCTTTATGCATCCTAACAAGAATTAAAATTGCAATAACAATTACAGGCAAAGAGAATATCTTTGTTTTGCCAAGATGCATTATAAAATAAGTCCAAATTTAACAATTCATTGCCAACTAACCTATGAAGACAAAACGAAGCATCCAAATTATTCATGTTATAGTTTCACTCACTCATTAGTTAGAGATAATTTTCTCCCTCTTTTTTTATTTTTAATACTTCAACCTTGTTATATGAACAAAGAGAAGTAAATAATTTTAAAAGCATTTAGGAAAAACAATGCTTCATTAAATAAAGACATGAAATGCAATTTTTTTCTGAAGTGGTTGAATTAAGTACCTGAAAAACAGCATTAAAGCAATTCCATAGGACATCAGAGTATGTAAGAGGTAGCGTTTGCAGCCAAGCCTTTAAAATAGGCTTCCAGTCTAACACCGAAGAACTCATGAAGACCATCCCATTGCGAGAAACTGTTGCAGGGGAAGCATTGTCAATGTTGTGAGGTTCAAAAATAATTTTGCAAGTTGGGGACATTGGAATACGATCTCCGTTGGCCAAAGTAAGGGTCTTATTATCGTCCAAAACCGAGTTCAGATTTTCAATCCATATTGCATCAACAGGTCCATCCAAAACTATCCAGATATGCTCACCCTAAAAAAAAGGACACATACATGCAACTTCATGCACATTGACCAAAAATACACATTTACTTAAATCTCAGAGAACACACTGTTGGATATAAATAACGAGTCATAACTTGGTGCTGATTAGCTCAGCATAAACTGCATTTTTTATAATTTGCTCCTTCTTTTATTATCCTGTGTCACAACAAAAAGTATATTAAGGAATCATGACAAAAATTAATTTGCACTGTTCTAAGCATAAAGCTGTCTGTTTCTTCTACAAAAGTTCATCAGCCATCCAGAGAGGTGGATGAAAACATTTCCCATTAAATACAATCACAGACACAGGCACACAGTCAGTCCCTGTGGGATTTTAACTATTTCATGTAAGGCCTCCCATTTTCCAAGTGAGAACTGAATGAAACTTCAGGAGATTCGAGTGTAATTATGATTCCATGGAACATCATCTGCAGGTTTGATATGAGAATTGGGAAATGTCTATATTGATTTCTTACCAAAGCCTCTTACATTCTGACATGATTAATGAAATAGAGTGGCAATGACATAAAACCAGAGAGGAGAAAATTAACTTTCATGTCCACACATCAAAACATGAACAGCCCTTGCTTTGGTGTTTGAATGGTAGGACTACCTGCTTATGGAAGGAAGAGAAACCCTTCATACCTTTTCTACTTTAATTCTGGAACTCAAGTGCTTGGGAAACCTAGTGCTCTCTGCATGTACACGTAATTCTGACCCTTGTGTACACTGAGCTAGTCAGACACAAGCAAAACTAACACCGTATTTTCCCATTTGATTTTATAATGGAAGATCTCTCACATAAATGAGACCTTATGGAAACAGTATTAAATGTCCTTATTAACTATCATGATACAATATCCGTTACCTTCTTTGCTTTTAAAGTTTTTCTCCATAATGTAGAGAAAATACCATCTGTCCAGTCATTTGTAGCAACATCAAGGGTACCAAACATCTGGGAAGCTGTGATTGCCTTTGGGTTCATTCTCATCTCTTTATGAGGAGCACCACAATCTGTCATTGCTTTCATCAAAATATTAATGCATTTTGTCTTTCCTGCACCAGCTGGACCTAGAGTCATCATACCTTAAAACAATATAAACACGGTTTAAAATGAAATGTCAAAATGTCATGCTACCATTTAATGGTTCTTTGCATCAACGATCCTTGTCTTATTTTAATCAAAAGCCAATCAAAAAAAGATGTTTCTCACTCCACTGAATCTTGACTGAAATGGAATTTTAAAATATTATTAAAAGACCTCTATAAAAGTCTGCTCTATTATAATAGGGAAGCCTATGTGGGTCTGTATCCTCCCTCAGGCAGTTCTGTTCCTTTTTGTAATTGGAAACACAACTGCCTTTTGATGCTCGCATGCAATGACACTGACTTGACTGCTGGTAAACAAAACCAGTAATTTCTAAATGTATTTAATGAGAATGAGTAGTTCCCAATTACATACAAAATCGAGTGCATCTTTCTAAAGTAAAAGTAACAAAAATATCTACCCGCATCCATCCCTGCTCACACATTAACACACCTTTCTTACATGAAAAAACAGTTAACAGCAACCACACTTATAATTTCATCAGTATATACACATGTTGCTTATGGAAAAGAAGCCATGTTTTCAACAATAAATTGAGCCTATAGTTGATCCTTTTTAGTTATATTTTCTAAATCACCTATTCAAGAGGCCAAGCCCAAAAGAGATGGGACAGAGTCTGTCCAAAAGCAGACGGGACATTCAAACTGAGAATCTGAAAATCTTCCAACGTCACTCAAGGGAGCTAGGTAACTCCTATTAATCCTAAAGGCAACTGGACAACATAATCCTTAGTTGGCTCTGAAAACCTCCTCAACAAAGGAATGGAACAAACAATCACAAAACCAAGTTACAAACCTAACCCAGTACAGTGCAAACTGCTTGATGTTTTCTCTAGAACTAAAGGGAGCTGAATGTTCCCAAAACCAATTTGAGCACCCAGCCAGCCACTTACTCATGCCATATGTTACATATAGCGAGATCTAATCCAAGCTCCTCGATGACAACGGAATGGCTTTTCTGCTAGTTTCAACAGCAAATCAATCAAAACTGTCATGCAAAAGAGCATTCAGGATCCATGCACTGAATCTCCATGTATACGTGTGTGTTTGTGCACACAGGACAAGGGGTAATAGTTTTACATTGAAAGAGGGCAGATTTAGACTGGACATCAGGAAAAAATTCTTCATGAAGAAGGTGGTGAGGTACTGGAAGAGGTTTCCCAGAGAAGCTGTGGATGCTCTCTCCCTAGAAGTGTTCAAGGCCAGGCTGGATGGCAGGGGGGGTGGAACTAAATGGTCTTTGACATCCCTTCCAACCCAAACCAGTCTGTGATTCTATGATTTCAACCAAGAGAAGTCATGCATTTTACAGGTTTTTCCTCATTATTTGAAATCCCATGGTGACCTCTGCATAAATCCAAAGGTCCCTGAGTAGGACAAAAGGAAGTCAGGAAATCAGGATCTTTTTACCACCATGCAATAACCTGTGTCATAGAAAGGTCCTTGGTATCCAAGTGTTAGGCCATTGGAGGTGCATGACCTCTGGGAATAGCAGTGACATGTGGAGAGAAGGGGCATCTAAGCAGAATGTCACAGTGGATCCTCAAGATTTTTGGGGAGGAGTGGTCTGTGGTGTCTCACAGAACAAGCAGCTTCTTCTAACAAGAGGTTCATTTAATTATGACTGAAATCCTTAAAACTTTCATGGTTCCTATATAGATATTCTGATTTGATATGGAACACTGAACCCACTGATGTGCATGTAAAATATTAACTCAGCACAGCAATAACCAGTTCTTTTATCTAGCCAATAATCTGAGCTAAACATTTGAGGCATTAAGGTCTCAGGCTGTGCTAGTCAAATGAGTATTGCCTTTTATTTGTTCCATTAGTTTAGGCTTACTGTTCTCTTATTATGACATGAAAAGGGAGAATAAAAAGGATGACATCTTCATAAATCTTTTCTCCTTTAGTTACATTTCCTTCATATTTTCTCCTTCATATACTAAAAAATCCTTAGTTCTTAGAAATTAGGGTGGTGAGGGACATTTCAGAGTAAGGGTAGTTTTTTCCACTCAGCTGTGAATTGTAAACCTAGTTTTACCACTTTCTTTGGTACCCTTCCTAGGACAGGATAAATTTCACTGATTAGCCTTTTGTTCACTGTAAAAATGTATTTCACAGAATCACAGAATGGTTGAGGTTAGGAGGAACCTCTGGAGGCCATCTTGTCCAATCCTCCTGGTTCAGCACGAGATGGGCTTATTCCTCCTCAGTATAAATGCCCAGAATCGAACACGAAGAACAACACTTGGAATTATACTGCATGCTTGGTAGAACCTATCAAAGTAAACATTTGAGAGATTTTTTTTTTTGTAATCTTCTCAGCATCGTAATCTCACAGTAATATTAAACATGAGCTTCATGACTGAACTGTTTCTGAGGGCAATAATTTTTTTCAGAACACCGAACAAAATTGCCTCTTTCTGATTTTTAATGTATACTCTCTATTTTAACTTGTTCCATAGAAATTTCAATCACTGAATGCCACACTCATATTTCCCATAAAAATGTAATACAACAAAGCTAAATCTCAGTATGTGTGCATTGCACACACAAAAGAAGTCAAAACAGTTTCCTAGCAAAATATCCATATAGGCTTTAAAAATTACATCTGTTCTATTTTAAAATACATTTTTTTTTAACTAATCTGCATTTTGCAGCAGATAATATAAAAACCTATTGCTTTTATGCAGTCTCAAAACCTCATCTAGCATGCTAACCATGTCGGACTCGTTGAGTTTCATACAGCTGAATAACTTTAAGTATCCATGGTGGATGATGAATAAGCCCTGCTTTCTCTGTCTGTTTCTGGATGGCTGACTGTAGTTCAGGATACCCAGCTTTATCCAGAGTAATTCCAGGGAACAGGTCATTAATGAGACTCATAAATAAAGGTTCATCTTCATCTACCTGTCAAGGAAAAAGTGGGGGGAAATGCATTATTTATTCATTGAAATTATTATTACAGTTGTAAACAATCTTGAAGAATATGCCATTTAAAAGATGGAAGTAAAAAACCTTATCTTTTCCAAAGTAAATATAATTAGGAATCAGTTTCATTAAGTGAATTTCAAGCAATGAAATCACAAGTAGTAATTTCTAAATTAACATTTTTAGAAGCTTTAAGTATTTAACATCTTAATACAGTTTTCTTCAACACACACACACATTTCTTCATTTGTTACCCAAGCCAGCAAGATTTATTCAAATCATATTTTGCCTTGGATTTTTTTTTTTCTTCTGTAAATCACTGAGGCATGTCTATAGGTTTGAATGCATGTACCAACACACTGAATAGATTAACATCAGAAACAGAGTAATTGGTTCCATCACAGAACTGGCTCCCAAGGTAAATGCACAGAATCTAGACATGCTATCACCTTTCAATTACAGCAATAAAAAGAAAGATGAATACTTTAAATAGTAATACTGAAAGAGATTAGACTATACAAGTGGGCGTTAGCTGCTTCCAACTACTTTACTCATTGCAATTCTCATGATATTCTGAAAAGGCAACAGATTCCAAAGAAATGTATAAATTGAAATTCTGGATTAAGAAGTATCTTTAATGGCATTATTGAGAGTTAATACAATGTATTCTTCCTTTCTCTCCTTAGAAAGGTCAGAAGGAAGGAAAAACAAAAGCCAATCAGAAGACCAGGTTAGGTTCCCCTAGGATCTGACGGTATTTCCAGTGTTTTTTTTCAGGTAAGGCTTCTGGTGTGTTCACCTTTCTTTAAAAGACAAACAGTGCTCACACTTTAACTGTATTCTGATTCTCCACTCACTGACAGACCACATTAAAAACTGAAAAGTAATGTATCCAACTGCTGAAGAAAAAGAGTTTTTCAAAGTGCATAATAAATACACTTAAAGATGCAAACAAAGTATTTTCTGGGAATGTCACCAGTGGTACAGTACCAGTTTGGAGAGGTTCATGTCCCGGAGAACTCTCATCACTACAGTTTTCTCTGGTTCTTTGGGATTAGATCTTTTCACTGCTCCAAGTGTTCTTAAAACAGACAGGATATTTCTAAGCCCAAAGTCATAGTGAACCTTGAAATAATACATAAAGACAATTGATAGCACAGAGATTAAATACTTTAAAATCAAGAGACAGCTGGAAACTAAATTTATTAAATAAACATGCTATTGAACTTTTTAATATGCTGAATTTCACAGCTCTTTATCTTCTTTTCAACTAGATTTCCAGTTCTCTTGCTATCATATCCTGAAGGTATTTTCCAGTGTTGTATGTCCATACTTGTCAAGTGTCCCTTTTGGGAGTAGACTATAATTTTCACAAGTCATCTGTAACAGAGCTGCATCTTCTATCATTTCCCGAAATTTATAATTTGCCAGATACACAAACAGAAAACCACACATCTTCAGACTACCCTCTGTTTTCTGCTCATGCAAGGACTGTTGCTGTCTTGATATATAGTGTTGGGATTCATGACCCAAAGGGCCAATCTCATGCTGATATAAAGAAACACACTAAAATTATTCAGATAGAACTTGTTGTATGTAAACCTACCCTATCCTGTACTTAATGACTTTCTGCTTTGCAGATGGTTTCATAACAGCTTGTTTCAGAGCAGAATGATTTACTTCCAACAGCCAAGTGCATCCTAGAGGTGTGTCTAACCAGCTTTGGGCTTAGGCAGGTAAGGGCTGGAATGTCTTCCCTTTCACTACAGGCGCAGCTGTCTGTTTGCAGAGCCATACAGACAATTAATTTTATCACTTGTACCTGAACATACAATTTGGTCTTAGTTAACACAGATTTGAAAATACATGCAAATGTGTTTCCTCTTTGACCGTTGATACAAATCCTAGAAGGAAAGTTATCAGGGTAAAGGTTTTAAATTTTAAAGTCTCCACTACTGCTGGCTGCTCAGAATACTAAGTGGTAAAGACAGACATGGCTGAAGATAATAAAGATGTTTTTATATTATAGAATATCTGCTCCCTCTGACTGACTGGAAATCATTTTGAGACCCAGTGCCTAGACTCCTTTTGACACTATCTGTTGTGCACTGACCTTGGCCAGCTGCCAGACACCCACCCAGCCACTATCACTCCCCCTGCTCAACAGGACAGAGTGAGAAAAGAAGATTAAATGAAAGCCTATGGGTCAATATAAAGACAGCAGGATCACTTACCAATTACCATCACAGGCAAGACAGACTTGACTTGAGGAAAATTAATTTAATTTATGGCCAGTTAGAATATATTTGGATGCCAAGAAACAAAGACAAAATTAAAACACCACCTTCCCCCCCACCCCCATTTCCCACGCTGACAGATTGGACCAATACATTGAGTACAATCTGGAATTTTCAGTAAAAAATAATTTATCGATTAGGTTTGCAGGTGCACACCAAGCTGGTCACTAGACAACAAGTAGAATTCAAAATTACCAAGAGACATTCAATAAATGATCTATGTATGATGCAATTAAATAAAGACAAGTGCAAAATACTACACAGATGGAAATAACCAATGGCACAAATAAATAATCATAGAATCACTAGGTTGGAAAAGACCTTAGAGATCATCCAGTCCAACCGTATCTGTCTGCCACTAAACCGTATCTCTCAGCACCTCATCCACCCGTCTCTTAAACACATCCAGGGATGGTGACTCCAGCACCTCCCTGGGCAGCCCGTTCCAGTGTGTGATAACCCTTTCGGTGACGAACTTCTTCCTTACATCCAATCTAACCCTCCCCTGGCGCAGCTTGAGTCCATTCCCCCTCGTCCGATCATCTGTCATTAGGGAGAAGAGACCAACACTCACTTCTCCACAACCTCCTTTCAGGTAGTTGTAGGCAGTGATCAGGTCTCCTCTCAGCCTCCTCTTCTCAAGGCTAAACAAGCCCAGTTCCCTCAGTCGCTCCTCATAAGACATATTCTCCAGACCCTTCACCAGTTTTGTGGCCCTTCTCTGGACACGCTCCAGGACCTCAATGTCTTTCTTGTATGTAGTGGCCCAAAGCTGATCACAGTACTCGAGGTGCAGCCTCACCAGTGCCGAGTACAGGGGGAGAATCACATCCCTGGACCTGCTGGCCACGCTGTTTTTGATACAAGCCAAGAAGAGTAACAACTCCTCTTCATTCAGTTGAATGAATGAACTAAGGCAAATAATCCAGTTGTGGAGACTGTCAGAATAACTGTTTCACATGGTTGTGGACACCTTGGGCTTCCTACATTTGCTAAGGACTATTCTTTTACTTTTGTATGTTTTCCTTTACTGAAGGAGATGATAGCATGCTTTTGGCTACTTGTGAGCCGGAGTTCCTCTTTCTACAGTATCTGCATTTGTGTGTGTAAAATAATCTGGAGAATTTAATGTATTTCTTCTGACAAATCCATTTCAGATTTTGTGGGAGTTAAATTCAGCTGGTGAATGCTTGTTTGTTGTTATTTTCTTCTGTTGACATATAATGCATAATTATATGCATTCTGTTGACATATAATGCATTTGCTGAATTTCCTGTTCTGCCATTTCCAATAGCATTGAATTTTATGTGGCCTTGTTCTTTCCAGTCAACTCCCTGGATACTCAACAGTACTTATTTCAAATTTAAAATTTACCATTACAAATTTAAATAAGTAAGTTCCACTGGGAAAGTCGGATTAATATGCCTCTGAGAAAGCCTGTCTGTACTTTATAGTTCTAGATTTCTGTCTAGATAGAAGCAATTAGTGTCTCACTCTACTCTTAGAAATATCTCCAGTTCATGAGACTCCCATATCTAATCAGATGAACTCATTAGACCTCTCTCTACATATAATCATGGCTTGCATCAGATGTATTCCCCAACCTACAAACTTCACGAGGAACTTCAGCAAGTCTCTCAAAATATCTCATTTTTACTACAACTAACTATGAATGATGAGGGTGGGAGATAACAATTCACATTCCCATAAGGAAATGGTAGGACCAACTGAAAAGCAAAAGATGCAATCTGAGGTGCACAAGAGAGATCCATATTCAACACTCTGGACACAAGCTGTGTTGGTAACCGCTGAAACCATGCATACACAAATTTTCCGAAACAATGTCCACAATTCCATATAAGAGAGAACTCTCGGAAAATGTTCATCTGACAAATGCAGCCTATAAACCAAATAACTATAAACCACAGGCAGAATACAGCAACAAATGGACTAACTAGCAGTGCTAGATCAATACAGGATGATTCAGAATGCCTAAAAACTAATTTAAAGGCTAATGGAGGCACCCTGGGCAATATTACAGAGAAGCTAGTAGCAAATATGACCCTTCAGAAGCCAGTCTACAACATAAGCTGGTGAGAAAAGCTGTCCCAGAAAAAGAAACCCGAGAGAAATGAAAATTGCAATCCAGTTTGGTTATATATATTGAAAGCTAAATTACAGAGGTATAGAGAAAGGAAGAGAAAATCCAAATCTACACTTTTTTGGTTTAACTCTGATGTAGTGAGGGTAATATGATGCAGCATTATTTTATCCTGATGTAGTCCAAGATTTCTACATGTAAGTCAACATAGTCACTAATAAACACATGGTATAGCACTGAAATAATATAATGGAGAATATAGTCAATATGCCCACAATCATTAGGATCCAACCAGAACAGGCTTCTCATTTGAGCTGCAACTTACCCACCATTCCTATGATCCCTCTTTGAGGCCTTCTAGTAGGTCAGCAAAAGGCATTCAGAAGGCAACAACTAGCTCTGTTCTTAAAAGCAGCCTTACCCTTTGATCTTTATGTGACCCTAAACCAAATACCAAACAGAATAGCACTTTTCTGGTAGCACTCAACAAAACAGTTACTTCTAGGCACTCTTCAGTTATTTACAGTTCTTACGCTGTCTCTCCAATAGAATGACTCTTCATAAGTGAGGAGACTGAAAAATGTGTCTTCTATGAAGTTCAGCAGAACACTATACACCATTCCTCATAACTTCACCAATAACTGCACTCTGTTTAAAAATCAGAAATCAAACGTCCTTAACCACACAAATTAGCTGTAAAATAAAAACAACATGATGGTTTCAGACTGCTTCTAGAACTTGAAACCGAAACCCCTAAAAAATGAATAGGTTCATGGGTGTAAAAATAATTATATATTCTATGAAAGTATTTTCTCTACATACCCTTCCAGTGACAGCTTACAGTTGGACAAATATTTATTTTACCTGTTTAGATAACTGCTCTTCACAGAGTTTGTAGAGTGTATAGAATTTTCGACTGAGGATTTGGTTGTCTCGGAAACCAGCACTTGCCAGCTTGACTCGCATAATAATGCTACGGTCAGGCACCATCATAGCAACTGTGCGAAACTGAATCTTCAGATTTTCTGGAAGTTCCTGTCGTCCTGCATAGCCAGGATTCTGAAAAAGGCAAAATAGAAAATAAAGTATTACGTAATGACAGCAGGATATGAAGATCTATCTTTTCTGATATTCTTTCGGCAAACACAAGAGCCCATGCCAGATTACGAAGGATAACTCGAGCATGTCTCAATTACACATCACTAATGCGATGATGAACTGCCTAAATACTGCAATTCATAAAGTATGTAGTATCACACATGGTATTTGGAGATGCCCAAGACACAAATATAGACAGACAATCACTTACAGATCTTCTTGGAGCGGTTTTAAATGGTTAGTTCCTCAGGGTCCTGATAGTGTTCCAGTGCTGGAGTTTACTGAACCTTGTCATAATTCACAGACCATTTCAGTGCAAAGTTAGTCAAGCAGTGCAAGCCATTACTTGATATAATTTAAACTAATGGATCTGACCTTTCACCCGAGATTTCTAAGTCATTCACGTGACTCAGCTATACAGTGAAAACAGTAGTTGCTGGCTAGTAGCTAGTAGTTGCTGATAATCTCTTAAACTCTTCCAGTTGTTTACAAACTGCCTTCCCTTCTAAACTGCTGTTTAGCATCTTTGTCGGTGACATGGATGACGGCATTGAGTGCACCCTCAGCAAGTTTGCCGACGACACCAAGCTGTGTGGCGCGGTCGACACGCTGGAGGGAAGGGATGCCATCCAGAGGGACCTTGACAGGCTGCAGAGGTGGGCCACTGCCAACCTCATGGAGTTTAACAAGGCCAAGTGCAAGGTCCTGCACCTGGGTTGGGGAAATCCTAAGCACAAGTACAGGCTGGGTGGAGAGTGGATAGAGAGCAGCTCCGAGGAAAAGGACTTGGGGGTACTGGTGGATGAAAAAGCTCAACATGAGCCGGCAGTGTGCCGAAGAAGAAATCAGGAAGAAATTCTTCACAGAGAGGGTGGTGAGGCACTGGAACAGGTTGCCCAGAGAAGCTGTGGATGCCCCATCCCTGGATGTCTTCAAGGCCAGGCTGGATGTGGCTTTGAGCAACCTGGTCTAGTGGAAGGGGTCCCTGCCCATGGCAGGGGGGGTGGGACTAGATGATCTTTAAGGTCCCTTCCCACCCTAACCATTCTATGATTCCCACTGGCCTCTGTATGCCACTAATTTGTCCTCTTTTTCAAATTAAAGTGATTACATTAATACTTTTTTAAATGTAGGAAACATTAAAATAAAGATAAACTCTTCCACTTTGAGTTGTGGGCACATAGTCTACAGCTAAGGAGTGGGAGATGTGAAGATATTTTTAAGGTATTCTTACACTTTCCTGCTTCTTTGCCCCCTGCACTGCTAGAAGCAGTCCACAGGCACCAAAGATTAATCTTCAGGAGGCCACTGAACCAGAGTGAGGGTGGTTTCCTTCATGCTGTCATACAAAAGGATTGTGGTCAAAAGTTCTTCACAGGTGGTGAAATACTGCCCAGACCAACTAGAGTAGTCCTTGTGGTGGTCAACTATTTCTGTATTATTTTGACAGACACTGACTAAAAATATGAGATGGTTGGGTTTAGTCTCAATCTGTCAAATATTCAACTGAGAAAGCCTTTAAAATATGCAGTTAATGGTATTTTCATACCACAAGTCCTAAGTTCCAGTTAAAAATATGGGCAAGAGAAAACATCATCATCATTATTTGACCAAATTATTGTTCAAATTGTATGTACTAACAGACAGTTCTAATGTCAATGGAAAATTAAATAGGAAAGATATTTCACAATTATGTATTTACACATATTTACACACATACCATTGTCAGAAATATACCAAATTCTCTGTCCATGTCAACAACATCACCATCAGTGAAAATGAACTGAGGCTTCTTGTTTTTCTTACACTGAAGTACAATATATATCTGCTGAGCAGCTACTGATAAAACTGGAAGTTCAATGCGGTTAAATTCATCAAAGCAACCCCATGCACCCGACTGGGCTAAACCTAAAAAAGCAAAACCAAAAATATTTTGTTAAAATATCAAACAAGAACAATTTATATATAAAATACAGCATGTTCTGTACAACTTAATGTAACATGAGAAAATCAAAGGAGGAACACAGAGTGAAATGAGAACTAAATACTCAGAATAAATCGGGCTGTGCATTAATGACACCCAGAAAAAGAATTACCTTTGGAAGAAAGATATACAAGCTTGTATGCAAATAATCCTACACTTCTACAGCAACCATAAGACAGGAAGAGTAATAATAATATATATAGCACCTAGAAGCATAAAAATGCATATAGTGTCGAAACTCTTCTGTGCAGGTGGTGAAATTGTCAAAGGTGAGCTTGAGACACCTACCTAAATGAAAAGCACCTAACTGAATTCAGAAATCACTACATTTGGGACAGAAGTGTTGTAGCATTTTCTAACAATTAATTCATAAGTCAAAAATTGTTGGAGAATAGCGTCCTGCCATTCATAAGAGAGGATTCTGATCTCACACTTACAACTGTTATTTGGAACAGGCCATGAAGTTCTAGACAGATGTCAGTATCCATAAACATCATGAAATTAATGTCTTTTGGGAGAGTCAAGTACTCCTTCTATATCATGTTAGCAGGATTGGAATAGGAGCGTCTACAGTGGCAGCTTTCCAGAGAGAGCACTAATGGGAAAGCTACGTAATCCCCTTCTATTCCATGTCTGTTTCACAAGAAACAAAGGCTAGTAAGCCTAGGCAGGAACTTTATGGATGCCATCGCCCCTTCCCGAAGCACACACTGGATTAGCATTTCCTATTGCCTGGGTCCAGCAAGGACCTGGATCAGTACCTTAACCAGTGTTACAAACAAATGTTCAGAAGCGTTTAACTCACTCCACTGGACCGGTAGAGCTCAGTTTGGCTTAAGCTGTTTGAAGGCAGTACTAAATGCAGAAATAAAGCACATGTCCAAGAAAAGGCATTAGTGTGTTTGCAACGTTGAACAACTATGCCCAGAGCTCCCTTGAAACGCCACACTTTATATGGCAATGCCTATAGCACTGGTAAAATAAATCAAGGGGTGGCTTATGTGTAATATTAATTCCTTAAGACACTTAAGCTAATGGAAGAGAAGGTACTCAACAATCAATAATAATACTGTTAATACATACGCTTTGTTTTGTTTTCTCTTCTCTTGTCTTTGCTCTGGCCTGGTCTGCTCCTATTATCCTTCTTCCTCCCCCCCGCCACTACTGTTCCTTGTCTGATCTTCTCTTGATCTTGAAGTTCCTCTAGGAACTTTCTCATCTTACACCAAATCCCCTTGAGGCCCCTTTTATGTTTCTTCTCTGCATCTCTTCTACTCTGCCCTGTCTTCTACAGTGACCAGCTATCAAAACTAAATCAATACTTGTCAGTTTTTCCAGACAGCAAAAAACCAGCAAAAAATATGAAAATAATTCTTACATTCATTTTTTACCTTTTTTTTTCATGTCCATTAACCACTTATTTCAATACTGTTGCATCGATTGGTCTTTTTTACCCTTGCAATTTTGGAAGAACTCTTCAACAAAATTAGAGGAGTCATATCAGATCAAAATCAGTGGTAGTACAGCCAAAATTGGCTCTTTAAGATTTGATTCAGTCAGGGCAATACTGCAGATCTCCCATGAAATTCAGTACAATGCCATATGTAATCTTTTTCCTAAACTGCTTCTAACTAATTTCTGTGGTATTGTAAGGAGAAACACGCTCTAAATGAAAAGAATTTGAAGATAATAAGAAGTCACATGAACTTAATTACAAAATTTAAAAGCAAATGGAATATATAAAAATGCCGCAATCTCACCATAAAGCAAAGATTAAAGTAATTCTATAGACAGGTACCAAATTTAAAACACAAAAGACTTGATCCTAATGTGTTTAAAAACAAATGAAGAATGGTCCTTGGCTTCACTGGTGTGGCAGCAAGTCCTTCAATCGATGTTCTCCCTCTTGTATGAGGAATAACAGGGCTCTGGATGCACCAGTAGGCCTTAAATGTCCTGAACAGCATTGTCTGCAGCTTCTAACCATGCTCCATATTGTCCTACAGTCCAGAAGCCCCATTTCTACTCAAGCAGGTCCGAGTCTTCAGTCTTTCCCTGAGCTATGTGTATGCAGGGCTGGGCACAGCCCTATCTCCTGTTATCCTGACCTGCTGACTGAACTTTCGTGAGGACCCCAGAACTACTCATAGTATTACGTCCAGCCCTGCCTCCTGCTGTTTCTGACTGAACTTTCTAGATGGACCCTGGACCCAGCTTGTAATATCTCTTTTTCTGATGGTCACTGCACAGCTGACGGAACAAGCTGTCACCAACCTGCCCTGCTCAGGCACTATGGAACCTGTCTTCCCTTATGGAGCTGCCCAACTCTGCTCCCTGATCAAAAGTTCCTGCAGAGGTTTTTCAAATACATTTGGCCCCTTTTGTTACAGGTGTTAGATGGCTACTATGATCCATTCTAAAAAATTAAAAAAAGGTTTTGCTACTTTGCACATTAAACATCAATATCTGCTATGGGATACAATAACAAAAAACCCTAAAGCTGGATATTCTCTAAGAGACTGTTCCATATTGTATTGTCTCTTACACTTACTATCCTATATTAAAGGTTTTTGAAATTAATTTCTCTACAGAATGGTGAGGTGAGGTTTGAGCCAAACAATTTTTCTTTGGGAAAAGGAAACAGTATCACTTGTTCTATAATGCCACCTGCTGCATGGAGTTATTAAACCCAATTCTCAGGCAAGGCCAGTATCCCACAACTATGAATACATTCAGTTCTTGCAAAATTATATTCTGGTGGTGTTTAAAAAGAAAAATAAAAGAACGCACACACAAGCAAAGGCACAGCAAGCAATCTGTCAGCTGCATAACAGCTTAGAGACAACTTAATTCTGTTGTGCCCTGTCATGCTGTGCATTAATTTCTGTCCCCACACAGAACATAGTATGGTAATCAAATACAGAAATGGAGCAAAAGCAAAAAATAAAGGACAAGACTAAAGAGATCTTTAATCATGTCTAAGAAATGTGACACACATCCCCAAATCAGCACAGATATCCTACCAACCTGGTCCTCACATGAGATAAGAATCACAGAGCAGAGCTACTTTACAACGCATCTCTGCAGTGCAGTGCCATGTCCCTTTCCATTCTGATGACCCTATGGCCTAGGCACAGCTGGGTGGTCTGACCCTTGAATGCTGCCCTGTGGCCACAGTCTGCCCACAGTGCAGGTATTAGGGTCCCACACAAAGGAAGGTGCAGCCTACCGTGAGAACCCTTGTTCTGCCAGGTGACCCACAGGCCCTGTGTGCTGCTTCGCACTGGGAAGTCTGGCTAAAAACTGGTGTGACAGTGCAGTAATTAATCATGTCAAAGCAGCGATAAACTCTCTTTTGTGCTGAAACAACATATATCTTCAGATTTAACACAGGCATACAATTATAGCGACATAATTTGAAGCAAATTTCACTGAAACAGAACTCTGTCTAGCCAAAGTGCAGCCCAGAAGCAGTCAATTACAAGGTAGTCACTGCTCCTGAAAGAATGTACAGAGCTCCATACTTCTTTAGTCACATTTGAATTAAGATAAATACCAAATCTTACATTAAATATTGCATTAAATATCAAATCACAAAAAGGTACCTCAGGTAAGACAGTGGTTGTTTGACTGTAACTATAGAAAACAAAACCAAAGCAAACATGACTTTTATACTCATCTACAGACAATGACAGACAAAAGGTCTCCTACAGGGTATTCACCAACACTTTTCACTAACAGTGATGAAGTACCCCTGATTCGCTCTTCCTGGGCAATTTTAGCACTGAATTTGATAAAATGGAAAACTTGAAAATTCACCTCACTTTCTTCCCTGGTACTTTCATTGGTTACCTCTGATACAACTCAGATGACCAACTATATCTGAATCTACTTTTTAGTTCAAAATTCAAAAACAAAGCTATCAAAGATGGAAGTCCAGGCTTTGGACATCTTGACTAGACCATTTGTCTGTGAATAGCTAGAGCCACACAGGAAAACAAAATACACAGAAAGAAAGAGAAACAGGGAGAAAGAACCCCAGTTCTGAGCCAACCAGGATAACTTTGTTATAATTCTATAGTACACAATATATTGTTATGTAATATACATCATGTTATGTTACATTATATTTATTATATTTGTATATTTCTTTATTCTGAAGATCAAACTTATTGTCCTTACAGAAAAAATCTGGAAACATGGCTGCAGCCATGACAATACCACCTCCACACCCCCTTTTTCTCCTCACTTCTAAATCAGCTAATATCTGATAACTTGACCCATAGCACCAGACGAAGTGAAAACCTTGAAGAGTTAACACCAGTGACGGAGTACAAAGCCTGTCGAGGACATGTGGAATTCTGAAGAATTTCTCAATGCGTGCACTAAAATATGTAGTATGTTTCATCAGAACGTTCTTATCAGTCTGCATGAAAGTGCTTCTAGAGCTGTGAACTATCCTTTTCCATTAAAGATCTCACATGCATTACAGAATCTTTCTCTAAACTCATTTTGCTCATTTCTTTCCCCAATTTCCGTATATCCACTCCTCAAGAAATACCAAATATCTTACAGACATTTAAACATACAAATGGTGATTCCAAGCTAAGCCCTTTTAAGTTGTGAAAATAAGTCTAAAGCAACTGTTGCCCTTCACAAATGAAATCATCAATGACTTATGTATGAACAGAATCTTAATTTTCCTCCCAGACACACAACAGCCTGACGAATGCTGAAAAAAATCACCCTATTCACACTCTATCCAGTTGGATGTGTTGTGTGATTTCCAGGCAAATTCTCTAAGAAGTAAGCCACCATCCCACTAGCAAATTGACTGAGGGGAAGCAGTCATGGGCATCATGGTCACCTGAGCACCAATTTGTTGAGTTCTATCAGCATCTTTTCTATGTCATATTGAACACCAGCATGCTATTAAATGAGGCAGCCAGATAACAAGGACACATTATACAGAATTACTTAGCTTTTGTCATAGATGATGACAATAATACATGGAAAATGGTTAAAAAAACAACAAAGGAAGCTGACCCCAAAACCCCAGCTTATGTTCTTCGACTTAGAAATTGTGTCCAGTTTTAATAAAAGGAGGCAAAGATAAGCTGCAGTTATCACTATTGCTTCCACCCGAAATAACAAAGGTTAAGTTACCTACCAAACTGCTCTGGACAAGGCGGCAGGAAAAAAGCAAGGATAGAGAGGCTAGATGTTTGAATCGATATAAGTCAGTAACAGTTTAATAAAAAGAAGTGAGATCACCAAGAAGTCCAGGAAAAAAGGTGGTGACATAAACAGATGCAAACATTCTCACAGAAGGAGTAGAGAGGAAAAAGACAACAGCTTGGTGAGGTCAAAGACAAACCCACTCCAAGGAGAAACACAGGCTGACGTTCCCCCTCCTGCCTGATGACTGCAGGTACAGAAGAGACCCGGTAGATGACTGCACTTGGCATTTTGAGCTCATTCATGCTTAGCCAGACAGCAAGATGGTCCCAGCCCTCTTTTATTTATTACCAACAAGTAAAATAAATATGGGAAACTAAAACCCTGCATGCACCATAAAAGACACACAATTAAAAGCTGGCCTAAAGAGCTAGGGCTTACAAGAGATGCTTCCAGAAACTTGCAACCTTGACTGAAGATATTCACCTGCGCAGCTAGTTCAGCGTCTAGCATTAAGTGAGCAGCTTTCCATAGCTCCTGGTCATCAGGTAACTATCTTCTCTCTTGATATGTAATAATCTAGTCGTAGTTATAAGTAAAATATTTACCCCAGGTAAGGAACAGAATAATACAATATATTCCATACAGAAGTCATCAGCTTCTACGTAAGTTTAACCCACATACCAGTGTGATTTAATGGGATAATATGAAACCTGTCTCCTGCTCTCATTGCTCACAGAAGCACTGAGCCAATTTCAGCCTTCTCCAAGGCACTGAATGTCTTCATTCACCTGAAAAGACCAAAGCTAAAGCTAGAAGACTAGCTAAAAGACTGTCTAATGCTTTAAATGAAGACTGTGATCAAACTTCCTATTCTTGTGGCATTAGAAGAATTTCTGGCTAGAAGAATGGGCTATTCACGGGACCAGTGGAGGACTGGGGATTAAAATATCACAAGAGCTAAGGATGGTCACTAGCTCTACCATTCACTGCTTCCATATTTGCTGCACAAATCTCAGATTTCTGGTATGGAAATGATAGGGCTGCTCTAGCAGGGAGCACTTTATGCCCTCTTTTTGTAGCAGTGTCTCCTTGACTCTTTTCTCCAGCTATCCTGCTTGTTCTAGGCTGGTCCCTTACTGCAGCTCCAACTAGAGAAATCCTATGGGTAAGAGATGGCAACAAACATGAGCATGTCTCAGAGAGGGAGAGAGAGAGAAGCTAAGAGACACCAGTGCCATTTCCAAGCTCAGTGTCTCTCTTCTGTCATGGCTGAAGGCTCAGAGGAATAGAGCACAGATACTAGCTAAGGCAAACAAAGTATGGAAATGTTTCTTTTTATCTATTTTCATATAACTGGACCTAATGTGTTTGACTAAGGAGAAGCAGGGCATTCTGCAGAATGCACAGACAGCTACAAAACTTCTGAGCCAAGATTAGAAAAACTTGTCAAACTGGTTAAATCTTTTCCTTCTTTCTCTGCACCACTTCTTCCTTGCCTCTTTTTTATATGGCCATTAAAGAAAATTAACAAGTTAATGAGGCCTTTAAAATATCTGCAAAAGAACAAAAGGATTAGGAGGAACAGTAGTCAACTGAAGTCAGTACAAGCACTGCTTTTAACTCAACTCTTCCCAAATCTATATTATTGGTCTTCTTGATCTAACTCAGCCACAAATTAACCCAGTATGACCACAAAGGAGATAAGAGAAAAAGATGGAAAATCTTTTCACAATTAAATACAAAATCATCTTAACCACACTTGGTATAATTTTCAGGCTTTCTACTTCCATTATAAAAGCTTAATTGGATACTCTTCAGCTCTTAAATAAGAAGCCAAAGACAAAAGTTATTTCTATTAAATTCTTGGCCAGCTTTGCTGGCTTCTTAATTTAAACTAGAAATGATCTCCACGTTACATTGTAACCTTCAGACGATATCACAACAGTTAAAATTAAGTTTATGATACCTTTTGTTAGACTTAAGAGCCCACCACTCACAGAAAATGGTGTTCTCGGGTCTGCCAGTCCATGTAAACAATAGTAGCTGTATGCAAGAAAAAAGACATAAATGGAGGCCACAGACATTGGCTCATCTGACCACTGTTTGCAAAACTGACTTCAAAGCTCTGCTTATTATGAAAAGTTACCAGACTTTGGCCACTGTCTCATTTTCCTGCTTTCAAGAAAGTTCTAGAGTTTGAAATAAGACAGTACACCACTTTGAACAGTTCCCTGACCTGTACGACATCATTGAGCTCCATCTTCGTTTGTCTTGCTTGATACAAAAATGTCAAGGGAGTGCTAAATACCCTCCCCCTTGGGATGGGTGGGATAGAGGCATAAAGAAAATCTGTTGAAATGAGAAGAAAGGAAAAGGGAAAGAAGACAGAGATAGGCAACATCCTCCAAGAATATAAAAAAGAAAGACTGGAAAGCAGGCAGAAATTTAAAAAAAAAAAAAAAAAAGAGAAATTAATATCATTAAAAGTTTATGAGCATCTAGAAATAAGAAGAAACAGAGAAGAAAATATGCTTATAATCACTGTTAGCTCGAAAATATGCTTGTAATCATTGTTAGCTCTCTAGTGAAGAGGCAAAAACATGATTCTAAAATTAACAAAGCAGAATATTTCTTACCTTTATAAATACGGCCCAGTCCTCTGTAGTCCATTTGATCTGAACAATTGAAAACAACAACATATTTTCCCAGGCATTTGCCCATGTCTTTGGTTGTTTCTGTTTTCCCTGTGCCTGCAGGTCCTGCTGGTGCACCTCCCATACTCATGCCCAGTGCCTGTGCCAGAGTGATGTAACACCTAGAGGCAGAACAAAGACTTCTATTAATCTCTTTCTACTATTAATTACTTGAATTCCATTAATGTAACCACAGCAGTTGTATTATACAGTGCCGAGGAAGGGGGCAGAAATGGGTGTGCTTCCCTGTGGTCAGTTCTCGGTCACCCCCTTTGCATATCATGAAGATGAGTTACCAGGTACTACCTTTGCTCCATCTGCAGAAAAGCATCCGTCCAGCACAGCGATGACTGCAACAGCCCAGGAAACACAGAGGTCAATTATAAATGCTGCATACCAAAATTATACACCCTTCCTTCATGACTCAACCTCATTTTGAAGCATCCAGACTTGCTGGGTTTCTGGCTTTTTCCAATCTTCCAATCTCTCTTTTCCAATCTCTCTCCCCAGAGCATAAAATATAAGCTCTCTGATCCAGCAATAGGAAGGCACAGAGGCTGAAACAGTGCCTGTTCTTGCCATTTCCCTACCAGCATGTCGAACCAGAGCAGCTCTGCCAGTCACATGAGGTCTTTTGAGTTCCAGAAGGAGAATAGATGAGAGGGAAGATTGTAATGGGCAATGGAGAAAGAAGAGAAGGATCCATGAATCCTAGGACCATCTTCTACTTCAGTATCCATCCTGGGTTGACATCCTCAAGTTTAAGTCTCAGCCTTCCCAGATGATGTGGAGGATTCTGAAGGGTGTAGGAAGACTCTTGTTCTAACCTACAATGCTCCAAAATCCCAGTAAGCCCATTTTAACACTGTGAAACTCAATAACTTCATGATATATCTGGGGAGAGAAAATGGGCACTAAAAAAACCCAAATGTTATCAGCTAGTATCACCTTCTATAAAATAAAACAATATTCATTCTAATATAATAGCAGTAATAATGCTTTATCACCTCATTACTCAGTAATCAGTTAACAGGCAGTCAGAAAAAATACCACTCCTAACAACTCTGCCATTGAAAATGAGGCAAGGATGAACGGTATACATAGCACAAGTCCTAAATAGAATTTGCATGTCAATTTTTGTATCTTCAATGACAGTATCTGTGTCTAACACGATGTTTAGAAGCACTCAGTTTCATTCCCAAGGTAACAGATTGCTGGTTGGTGTCTGCTACAGGCTGCCGGGTCAAGGGGAGCCTATTGACAAAGCCTGCTTACTCCGGCTAGAGGAGGCATCGCGCTCACAGGCTCTCGGCCTGCTGGGGTACTTCAACAACTCTGACATCTGCTGGAAAAGCAGCATGGTACACTGTACGCAATCCAGGAGACTCCTGGATTGCATTGAGGATAACTTCTTAAGTCAAGTAATAGACAACCCTACCAGATGGGATGTGATACCGGACCTGCTGGTCACCAAGGCAAGTGAGCTGATTGGTGGCGTCAAGATTGGAGGCAGCCTGGGCTGCAGTGATCGTGCACTGGTGGAGTTTGCAGTCCTGAGGGATATAGGTCGGGCGAAGAGTAAAGTCAGAACCCTGAATTTTGGGAAAGCAAACCTCCAGCTCTTCAAAGAGTTAGTCAATAGGACCCGCTGGGAAACTGTCCTTGGGGACAATGGATCAGAACAGACCTGGCAGATCTTCAAGAATGCTTTCCATAAAGCACATGAGCTCTTGATCCCCAGGTGTAAGAAATGAGGAAAGGAAAGCAAGAGACCAGCATGGATGAGTCGAGACGGGCTGGTCAAACTAAAGGGCAAGAAGGGTATGAACAGGCAGTGGGAGCAGGGACAGAGACAGGTCTCTGAGCAACCTGATCTAGTTGAAGATGTCCCTGCTCACTGCCGTGGGGTTGGACTTTTTAAAGGTCCCTTCCAACCCAAACTATTCTATGATCCTTTGATTAACGTAATGCACTACTGCCAGGGTGTATTTATCAAGTGCTTCAGGAACCTTTCTGAACACAAAATCATGAGCCAAACAGGACTTAACTCCAAGCTGATTAATGGAAAGCAAAGATATCATCACCTAAAAATTGTCAGAAGCTCACACCAAGTCCATATAGTAATATTAAAAATATTAAAATGGAAAAAGCCTATAAGGGGAATAAAATCTCTTCTCATGTAACACTACTTAGGTACATAAGTTTGCCATGCCAACACTAGAAAACATCTCTGCTTCAAATATTCTTTCAATATATGAAATGGATAGCCACAAATCCCTGCAGCTCTGTTTGGCTCTTCTAGGTTTGCCCAAACACAGACACCTCTGCTTGTTTTTGTTGTTATTATTATAGTTTAAATTCATTAAGAGACTTATTTTCTTCAATAATGTCACCCTGTGCTTGTTTTCAATCTCACATGACATAGTGCCTTGAATCAATCCCTAATCAATTAGCTTGCATTTTAATTCTTTCAACAAATTTTGAATTACATTTTCTTGATACTGTCTGTCCCGGTGGGCAAAAATATTGGCTGCGTGGTAAAGCTGCCACACCCACTATTCCACTGCATGTTTACTGCTGCAAATGGATCTCTATCTACCAAAGGAAATAGTAGGGTACATAGCATAGAATTTGGCAGATATGTGTTACATATTAAGAGCCAGGTATCCAGGCACAGGGTTTTGGCTCTCTTAAATAGCTCACTGAGCATAATTTTGGTTCAGAAGCCGGCAGAAGTCTGAAATTTCACTAGTAAATAAAATCTAGTAGCGAAGAGAGTGTAAGGACAATTCCAACATTAATTCAACAGCCTGCAGTCATGCTTCACACAACAAATGACTGAATATGCACAGTATTTTGACATTCCTATCCACACTTAAACGAACAAGCTCTGGTATAGCGAAGGCGTCTGCCTCTTGCCTAACAGAAGCACTGCTGAGTACTTTAGGAAAATATGCATCTAATGCAGTTAGTTCTCCACTGTATAACTAACACTTCAGCAATCAGAAGTTCTTGTATTTTGCCCTTGGAGTTTTTTTTCTGTGTTTGCAGTCCTGTAATTTTCCATAGGCCTTGCTTAAAACCATTTTGGGACCAGTTATTCCATGCTATGCCCTGCTATGCTTTTTCCTCTTGGGTGACTTAAAATTAACCACTTGTCATAATCCCTGATTTTCATGCAACTACTAGCTTATTGAAAGCAACAATATATTTCTTTCTAGATCCACTCTGTTTAGGTTGGTGAAGTGTACGGCATTCAGCTATATTTACCTTGAGCACAACTAAGTTTTTCAATGCCTACTGTAGCATATACAGCTCAAACACTCAAAGAGATTTCAAGACCCCTCCAAGGGGGCGAGGGGATGCCTGGTTTTGCTAGCTGACTATATATAAGCACTGGCCTCTGCTGTTCACCATGGATATTGCAGAACTATAATGGAAGCAAAGTAAGAATTCTGACTCATGAAAGTTACAGGAATCAAAGGAATTAAGTCTTAACTCCAGTACTATGCCCTGTATTCTTATAACTACCTGTCAGTTAATGGAGTTATAACAAGCCTGTCTGTGCACCCTAAGTATTCATTGCAGTAGGTGAACTCTACATCGGTGATTTGGACAATGCATTTATCCACATCTTCAAGAAAATAAAATCGAGACTGCTTTTGCCATTCAAAATCAGATGGAGATTTAATGTTCATACGGACCTGTAATGGAAAAGAAAAATCATTAAATCAGAAGTGAAAAAGTATAACAAATTTATTTTAAACTCCATACAGAAAAAAAAGTCTACTGTGCATAAATTCAAGACATGGAAGAACAAGCACAGAATCTGTAGGAGTCAAGATATCCAAAATTATCTTTTCAAACCTGTCTATAACATGCTCTGAACTTTCTGACCACATGATTTTCCTCTGAATTGTGTACAGAGATTATGAATTGTCTTACAAAGATACTGAAGAACAGTGACAGAAAACCGTATAAAACTAAGAAAACACTAGTTACACTGCACGGTATCTGGGGCCATTACTCACAGAACTACTAAATTGTGGGCAACGTCTGAATATGTTGTAAATTTGTCTATGTGTTTGTTACTTGGGATGTATTTTTCAGTATGAACTTGCCTGAGACATACTTAAATTTGTGGCAGATAAACAGATCAACAGATCTTCATTTATTATTTTTGACACTTGAACTCAAAACCACTGGCCTCTTACAGAATATGTAGTCCTGGTTATCGGCCTTGCAGACAAGGTGAAGAGGAGGTTCTGGATTCTCAGCCACTTCCCTCTACTTTCTCTTAATCACAAAAGGTCGTGTTTAGCAGGGAATAGAGCATTTTGAGAGAAAAGGATAATATTACCTGTACCAATTAAGAGTCCTTCCCAGTTTTGGACTTCACCCTGACTTTTTATTTCACATACAGACCCTTTACATTTAACCAATTTTTTTTGTGATTTAATTTTATTATAATATGACAATAAATTAATTGATAATGAAATGTCCAATTTAGAAAATAATTATGAAGATAAATTAAAAATTACAGGCTGAGGATAAAACCATATGACTATTTTAGAAGTTGGCAGGTTTTTTTCTTTCAGTATTTTTCTTTATCACTTTTTGTCTTTCTTTACACATGGACTTAATTTTTATCTGTCTAAAATATATGCATAAATTAAACAATGCAGTATTGAATTATTGACCATTGTACCATGCAAGCTGTTGCAAATTATTTTACTTCCACTTTTAGAATTATAGTTTCATGTATTTGATATACTTATCTAAAGGAAGTCTGATGCTACTCAATTAAAAAATAATATAAAATACCTGTTCTGGTTATTGTTGCCACCTTTCTCAAATGTATGGAGCCTCACCATTTTAACTTTTGAATAACTATTACCTTAAATCAACATATAGGCTGGGCTGGAAATTACATGATTCATAGTAATACTAAAGGGACTTTTTTTCCTCTTACATAATGTATTACATTTTCAATTTTAAAAATAGTTTAATTTAAAAGATAAACTCTTTTGCTCACAGTGAATTGTGCATGATGGGTATCAACAATCACTTTACAAACTGAAGTCTATGAACATGCCTAAATATAATTCACCTTTATCTCTGCATGACCACTATATGAAATCAACCTAAATCTGATATGCTCTATCACAGCACTAATATCAGAGCTACTCAAAAAGAATATATTGTAAGATTTGTTTATAATTTTTTTATATGTGCAAAAACTTCCATACAGAAAGTCCCTTAAAGGTTTTCAAATGCTTACCAAATCAAAGATATCCTTCTGGTGCACATGAATGGTGATTAACGTTTCATATTTTGTGCGCTCCATTCTTGTGAGATTGTGTGTTGTCGTGTCAATCAAATCATTTAAAAGTTCCAAAAACTTCTGATTTGTTGTGTGCATTACCTTTTCCACATAGCAAGAACAGTCATATTAATACAAATATCATTTGTTCTTCCAGTGTTTAGAAGAAAAAATATAAAGCATCTGCAAATATACAGGCCCATGATGTCTATGATCTGCTTTGTATTTATTAAGTTTGGAATCCTAAATTTGGATTTGCAAGCTGCCCTCCATGCATCCATTCTTAGCCCAACAGAGTGCAATAAGGTTATATCTAGGTGAAAAGGTCACATCATAAGATTTTATTCCAAGAGTCTTGCTCCTTCTACTCTACATTACTTCTTCAGCTGGTTGCATCCCTGCGTATTTTCAGAACCATCAATCTCTGGGTTTGGCTATTGCACATCAGCCCCAGCAAGATCAACTTTTTAGGGGGAACAGGAACATGGAGATCTATCACATCCTCTAACCAGAGGAGGGAGAAAATGTAGTGTAATTTTAGATGCCAATGCTAAAATAAGAATTTTTTTTTGTCACACCACATTCTGTTACAAAATTCCACAAAACACAACACTGACTATACAATACTGACTTAGGTAAACAGCATCAGCCTCTGTCAGTGATGTTCTGGTACACAACAAATTATAAGCTACTGAGGTTTCAGAAAGGGCAGCTCATAAATATCCCTATTCCAAATGCGTGAAAGGACGACCACACTAGCTTTCTGTAAATACATGCAAAGCTTAAACCTCACCCTGTTTGCTGAGAAAAAAGTGCTAAAAACACTTCAAAATGAATGGAAAACTAAACGACCTCCCTGCCTCCCAAACACACACACAGAGTTCATCTCAGGGAAACAAAAGTTGTTTTCTAGTTAATGCAAAAGAATCTTTGCGTCTAATTAGTGTCTGAACTGGAGTGGACTAAAAGCAGGTCTGTGTCCTTTTTTAGCTTTCTGTAATGCAGAAAATGTAGCACTAAGTGGGCTTCTCCATAGTCTGGAGTCTTTGTTTTCATTATCAAAGTACAGCATGGTACCATTCCCCTGAATTTACTTTTTCAGTGGGATGGCGTTACCAGTTCTTAGTCCAATATCACTGTATATTCTTGATTAATGGTAACTTGCAACTCTTTAGTTCACATCTTCTCCTTCCTCCTTCACAGATTCAGTGTTAGTAATAACACCTTGGTGTTAACAGTATCTTCTCTACATGTTTGAGATTAAACCAGCACCTCCTCAATTCCCTACACTAAAAAAAGAGCTTATCAACTGAAGAATCTAATACACTCTGTTAGAGTAGACCAATGTCCATGAAGCACAGTTATTTCCCCAGATTTTAAGAGCTCTTATTTCTTCCCAATTTTGATTCTGGGAAAGTAATAGGATAAGATTCCCTATATTTCCAAATAGAGAAATTGTCCCTTACCAAGATGACTGCACTGACAGAACAACAGGGAAAATCCCAGAATTAGGGAAAATTCTAAAGCACATGCTGAGGGATGGTGAGGAGGGGTGACCTCAACAAATTTTTTATCATTCTGTTTTCCTGTTACTTTATTTTTCTGGTTACTTAATGTGTATATTGTACTTTATCCTACACGTTACTTTTAACTTTCCACAATAGGCACTGTTCCAAACAATGCTTTTAATTAATCCCCAAAGATTCATTAAATACTACCTTTTTGTCTGTTTTGGCGCTGTTCAGTGCATTCTCTGCATCTCTGGTCCAGATCATTTGAATTCCCAGAAGTCCTATTTGTGCAGGAAACATTGCTTGAAAGTCATACAGCTTAAATCCTGAATCGCTAATGGCCATTGATGCCTGTCTAATGATGGTGTGGATTGTTTTCCTAATCCCATTCAGCAGCTGACCTAACCAGAATTCCACATTGCCCTGAAATAAACAAGAAAGTACCTTTAAAGATCAGTTTATGAATAATTCACAAGGAGAAAAAGCCTTGTGTGATTTTTTCCCAGCCCTTCATACTCCCATTTCCCTCTTTGTTATTCTCTCATCTTTAAAAGATTCCTGTCCTCCTTCCGCTCCACTGCCCCTCCAGAGATAGGTGATGGATTTGGCACTTCACATCAGTACTGCTGAAAAACTAGAATGACACAAATGTCCTGTCCTTTCTGGCCTTTGCTCTTGCTGTTTGTATTGGATGGTTTTCATTCAGGTACTCAAATAATGACTGTATACTGTTGGTATGCGATGCTGTTGGCCTCTAAAACATAAATCTATTTTAAATCAAGTCATGAAAAACTGCAATATACACTTCCATTACCTGAGCTACAACTGGTTCAATAATATTGACTTGTTCTCCTTCTTGAGATTCAAAAAGTAAAATCTGGTCGTAGTTTTTTTCATGAAATCCCACTCGGTTAACATTGTCAAACAAACTTAATAAATGTGCCTACAATAAAATCAGAAAAAAAAAGAAAAGCTCTATAAACATCTGATATAGCAGTCTTACTTTAAATCCTGTATTAGAAGACTCTATAAATCTTTCCATAAGTGAAAGATATTATCTCAATTAAATAACAAAATCCTCCATGGTCCTCACTTACTAATATTGACCGCAAGAACATTATTGCTATATTACTTGTACCTGAATAGTGTGGGAATCAGATGCTTGACCAAGGATTTCCAGAAGAGCAGGGTCAGATACAAAAAAAAATCTTGGAAATATTAACCGTTTCTTTTCCAAATAGCCAGTCAGTGATTTCTGGCAGATTTCCAATTGTTCCAGCAAATGTGGCAACAGCTGTGCCAAAGTATCATCTCCAACACAGCACTGCACCATGTTCGATATTTCATGTGCTCTCTGCATAATTCTCTGCCATGCTTTATCAATGTTCTGAAATCTTCTGGCTTCCTGGAGTACATGAAAAATGCATTAATTCTTACTCGTGTTTGTCAAATTCTAAAAATTAAAGAACTCCATGAGACAAGGTAACAGTTTAATACTTCCCTTGATGTTCAAGTCTCCTTTGAAGGACTAATGTATGAATATTTATAGGCATGCTTATAATGATCAGTGCTTATACTGACCACAGTTCAAAATGCAAGAGAAAGAGTCCAATGGGACAGCTCTGGCAATGTCTTTTACTTCATGTTGGGCATCAAAACTGTCCACATGAAAGAATTCCAACACACACCAGAAAACTCAAACAGAGGACTTCCTGTCAGAAGTCAGAATTCCTCATAGTGATACACAAGGTCATTTAATGACTGCTCCACACAGGTTGAGGAGTAAGTTGTTAGTAATACTTGACAAACAAAACCAGTATAAATAGTCTGAAGCTGCTGCACTTGTAAGGTATTGTAGATAAAGTCAGGCACATTCTAAAATACTAGAGAATATTTTTCTACACTAGGTATACTGACTTTAAAAACTCTTCTTCGCCTATAACAAAAGAAATGTTAATGGGCTCATAAATTATCTGAGAGCCAGAAGAGATCTCAAGAGACCATCCGAAGGCATTTGAATGTCACAAGACAGGATCATACCCATGCCACTCTTGAAAAACCTCCATCTGTCTTGTGTTTAAAGATGCTCAATGCTGGAGATTCTGAGGCGTCTCCAGGCACTCTTTGTTACTGGTGACTCAGTTTTAATGTCTAAGCTTAATTTTTCTTGTGTGTACACCAAGTACTTACCATATTTATAGATAAAAAGAACACATTGTTTTCTTCATCTTGGGAGAAACCCTTATTTTTTTAAATCTTATCACATCTTCTCTTCAGTTTCTCCTCTCCTTCAAGCCAAACAAGCCTAGTTTGTTGAATTCTTCCTTGCGCATCATCCTTCATGGATAGTTCCTCATTTTTAGCACCCTCTTCTATGCTCTCTCAAATTTGTCTATGTGCTTCTTCAGCCCAAACCATGTACAATATTTTAGTTATCAGTTATTACTGTTTATGCATTCCACTCTGCCGCTGCTTTTTACACACTGGCAATCTAAAACTCTTTTTTTGATAGTATTATGAAAGACACTGTCAAAAGCCTATCAGGATATGTAGCAACTACTGTTTTCCCCCTATGCACAAAGCTGCTTGCCCACCCTAAAAATAATTTAGATTTGACAGCTTTTGCTCCTAAATAATCCACACTGACTGCTACTCATCTCCTTGTTAACTTCCAGATGCTTGGAGACAGTTATTTGTTGCAGTGTTCATCAAGGAATTGCAATTAAGCCCACTCATCGATCATTACTCCTCCACCAAGCTGTTCCTTCTCCTCATTCTTTAACCATAGTCACCACATTTGCTTTTTTGCAGAATATTGGTTCATGTATCATCCTTGTAGCTTTAGCAGCTATCAAATGCCTCAGCTCTGCTGCAGCATTTATTCATCTGCAAAAAATGCTTATTGATTCTCTAATAAACTTTAACAATATAAACATCTCATGAACTTAAAAAAAAAAAGTACTGCTATCTTAAATAACAGTTAAGAAACTTAACTTACAAAAATTAATGTTAGTTTTGGAATTTGTAATCCTTTAATTATAAAAGATGGGGCCTGAAATAAATTCATAGTTAATAATTTCCCATAATCATGGTTTTGTTAAGTTACAGCACTGGCTGATCGAGTGCTACTTAATTGTGGCGTGTTAAAACTATACGAAAATCTCTCATTAGGAGATGCAATGGTGAGGATGACTTACTCTGGTGTTTCTCTCCTGCAGGAAGTCAGATCATTCCTTAACTCTTTTGCAGCTGCTATTCTGGAAGGCCATAATTACCTTTTGAAGAAGTTGCAATAGTGCACCCAAATTAGCACCCCTGCAGCTGCCCAAGTGTTGCAGCATCTCTCTCTGGGACTTAGACTAAGTCCTAGCAAGTACAGAGTTCACACAGAAAATCTGTCATTCAGTTATTACATAACTAGGGCTTATAAACACATGCACACAAGAGGTAAGGGATGTTGGCATGTCTGGGAGAAGTGATTCATCAGTTTTATACCATTAACTAGTCCTGAGCCCTGTGCTATCATAAGATTCACTAGTATTGCAAGATGACAGGAATATTTGGGCCTGAATTATAAACAATCCTGCTCCTATAGGTTTAATGAAGTTCTAAGCAGTTCAACCAGACAGGTCCCAGTTTGCCAAAACTTCTTCTGAACTGCTGATGCACAGCCCACAAAATTTCTACACATTATATGCATTAGCAAGTAACCGCTGTGAAGCAGCTAATCTCTTGGTACAACATATTGCCACTCGTGTGTTGTAATCACAAATCAACATACCTGAGGTAGTTGTTTTGCAATATCTCCACCAACAAACACAGCTTCAAGGTAAATCCAGAGGTTTTGTACAGTAATCCAGCTTTCAATTATCTCTGCAGTATTGGTCAGCTTCTGAACCCACTGTTGTATAGTGGACTTAAACGGTGCATTATACCTGCATGAACATGAGTTAAAGGGAAAAAAAACTAAGATGATCATTGTTTACTTTTGGGTTTGATTAGGTTTACACCATATGTGCATTTACTAAGTTACATACCTGTTGCTCATGAGTGACCCCAATACCATGATGCTGTCTTCCACCAAAGCTATTTTCTCCAGTATATCTGATCCTTTCAGAAGGAGTTCTCCTCGACTTTTGAATTGGCCAAAACTGAAAGCATGAGTACTCCATTCACTGATGACATGCTTCAATTTTGCTTCAATATCCTTTTCTTTAACAGCACTGATGCAGATATCCTGTGTTAAATTAAACCAGCAAATGACATTCCTCTAAGGCTAATAAAATGCCCACTTATAAAGGCAACTAAAATTCATTAGCTAGATCCAGACTTCAGTGTAAGTTCTAGCTAATGAAAATATAAATTGAAACACCTCAAAATTATTACATTACAATCTAGATTATACCATAGTACTACTTGTAACTGGAATATTTTATGGGCTAACACTAGAACCTTATACTTTTGAAAATTCACTGACGTGGTGAATCTGCAGGCAAGATTTGTATTAACTGTATTAAAATTTGAAGTCAAATATACCTACTGAGTGAGTTAAGGAAAATACACATTATCAATCCAAATGAATAAACAGTCCAAGGTTAGAGTGTATATGAACAACATGATTGCCTGATACTTCTTCAGGACAGGACTGGCATAAAATCAGTTATTGCATCAGAGAGAAAAGGAGCAGCTACTCAGATTGGACTCCAAATTCAGGTTCAGGAGTATATTGGATTCCATCACAGCTTTGAAGTCTTGAGTGTAAAGCCTGTCACTCTGAACCTTTCACATGGCTTAAATCCTTGTCAGGAAATTGCGTACAGCAGAGGTTTGATTTCATGTATTTGTCTTAGAAGTGTTCCTTTAGTGAACAAGACAAACAAGGTCACTGCTTTGGAGGGACTACAGATTTAGCTAAGGGATAACAGAACTGAAGTTAGAAACTGTTGGGGTTTTCTTTCCTTAACTTTAGCTATACTTCATTCTTGGAAAAGGTAATGAGCATAAAAATAATGTACTTGCTAGATAACTACAGTCCTCAAAATGGAGGAGACAATAGCTTTGTAGTTTGTGCTCATTACATAAGCCTTCTTACTGCTCTGTGCTCTTGTGAAATACACAAGAACCTTGTTCTCCTTTAATCCTGTATCCTCTGCTTCTACTGTGTTCCAAGGATATTGAGCACTAGACAGGATCAGACTTACATCAACAATTTTTTCTCTCTGATGCGACATTTAAAAGGAAGAAAAAATTATAAGTAGTCAGATCCTAAAGCAGAAGCATGACAGAATCACACTACTCTTAAAACAACAGAATTCCTTCTATGGAAGTATTAGTGTAATACCATCTATCCATTTAATCCTTCTCCAGTATAAAAGGGAAATAAACTAACCATCACTGCTAATACCAGCTACCAAGTTACATTCTTCAAAAGAATTCTCCAACTAAAGCCAAATTGTTTAGCGTCACAAAGCTGACTAGAAACAGGATTCCAAAAGCACAGAGCCCCACATCACGTTATTCATTAAAAACAATCAGAAAAGTACATGTACCTCAATATCTTCTTTATATTTTAATAAAGAGGCCTCCATTATGTTTTTCAAAGCAAAATTTTCAGAGTGAACATCAAAGTGATGTCCAGTTACTTGTGCAATTCTTTCCCAGTGTCGTGACATCATTGCCTAGAAAAGTCAGTGAGAATTAGGGAAGATTTTTTAAAAATTATATTATTTTTAGGACTTGAATGATCACATACTTTTGCACTAGATCTGTTAAACAAATAGAAGAGTCTTGATTTCCATTCCATTGAAAGCATTAATAGTTATTCTAATGACAGCATGAAGTCTTTTGTTTTACTTTCTGTAATTAAGCCTGACAAATTTTTTGCTATAAATATAGCTGGTTTTATCTATAAAAAAGAATTATGGAAAGCATCTTATAGTCATGCAATGCAGTCTTCAATAGAGTTTTTCAAGTGAATCTTATCTCAAACTATTATGCTGAACATACTTTGTCTGCCATCATTTCAAGCAAAGGACAGCTCTCTGTGAAGTCACCAATTTTTTTTTTGAGGTCTTGAAAAGCTTGCCATTCCTTCAATGCCTTTGGTAACTTGCGGATTCTTTAAAAAGCACAAAAAAGGATAAATAATTTATCTTAATAATCACAATCCACCATTTAACAGTACAATATATTCTCATCTTTCAACCAAGGGACCAGTAGGCTGTAAATAAATATCCAGTTCCAAGCTGGCAACATAATAGATAGCTGACAGGGTGCTGAGCCATCTTGTCTAGACTGTGCTTCTGCCAAGAAAGGTTGGACCAGATGATCCTTCCAACCTGGTATTCTATGATTCTGTGACTACGATTGTTTCTGCATGCAGGCATGAAACACTGCTAAAGACAGAAAAAAACCACACTAGAACAGTTTGTTTTTATTTCAGTTTCAATTAAAGGAGATTAATTTCAGGTGCAAACTTGTGTCTGAACGTAATCTTTTGCAGTGTCATTGTTTTATCAAAAATTTGAAAACGCAACTGATTTTGTAAAGGGGAAAAAAGATTAAACAACATATATTTTTTCAAGCAAAATAAAGTACTTCTGAAACCAAAACTGACCTGCTTGCAAACTGAAAAATACTTCTGTTTGAATCAAAAAAGTCCTATTTTATACTTAGTTTGTACAAAAGATATTTAAAGAAAAATCTTCCTTTGTGCAAAATTTCAAGATGAAAAAAAACCTGAAAAATAAGAACCTCTAGTACTATGAATTATCACAGCTCTACTTACTTCTAACAAGTCATGCCAATTTTCATCTGGCAAAGCTATGGACCAAAAACTGACAGAAGTTCTCTTACAGCTTAATGGCAGAAACGAAAAGCTGCATAAAAGCAACCCATAATGAAAAATCCCTCTTCAAAGAAATTCTCCATTTTTCACAGCTCAAAATCAGATAGATCTGTCACACAATGCTGGAGCATGTGTGAATTCTTCACTGCTTGCTGGTTAGAGCTAGATGAACATATGCATTCTGTCATGGAACTGCAATAATCTTTGTAGTCTTCCATCTTGAATCCAACAGCAGACAGTATTAAATATGCTAGAGAAAGGCATTTCAGAAGGGAAAATTGCACTCTGATATGTATGGATAAGGCTTTAAGAGGCAGTTCCCGGCTACATCTATGCTGAGGCACAATGAGTTAACTTTTTTACAAACTTTGTCTTAGGCTGGCAATTGGAAATGGGATCTCTTAGCTTGGTAGTGAAAACTTGTTTTATACTAACAGCTTTTTTCTTTGTCTTGGTGTCAGTAATATCTTTTAACAGCAAGATCCATGAGTTACATACTATGTTAAAAGATTACTCAGGTTTAAATTTCCTTCTTAAAATTACTGGACATTCTCTTTACACTACATTTCAGTAAAACATAAAGGGAAGCTTTTCTGTAGCTGTTATTATAAACTTATATAACGCTCCCCACCACAGGCATTTTCCCTAAATATTTATCCTTTTTGTCTCTTTTTACGGTTTTATTTTCACCTACAGTTATTTTTGTGATTCTTCTTTTCATGATTCTAGGTTTCCTATTACTATTTTTAAAAGGGCTAGCAAAAAAGAACGCTAAAGAATTGTGCATATCTTTACAATTACACTAAAACACTAATTGTATTTCCAGTATTCCTGCTCCTTTCTTAACATAGCATACCAGAGCAGTTATTTCTGTGGGTAACCACTGTACACTGTTTAAATTTCTCCAGCTTTAAAGAGAATAGCTTGATGCAATAATGCTAGCAAGTCTGGCAAAGGAAGGATAGTACTGGGTTAGACTTCTATTACAAAAAAAATATCTACTGCCTACCTTGCTCCAAATGTAGCTTAAGACTTGAGAGGGAAAAAAAGTCACACATGAAAGCAAAAAGAGAACCATGTAACTTGGCAAACTGTTGTCATGCAACAGCTTCCTTCAGAGTTCCAGGAGAAGGAAGCATAAAGAGTCCTACCAACCTGTAAAATGTAATTAACTATAGAAAAAATGATGATGAAGATTCCAGAATTCTATTGAAGTGATATCAAGACTTACAGGTATTTTCCAAATGCAGAAGTATATCTATTTTACACACATTTATTTTTACTATTATTATTTTTAAAAAAAGAGAGGTTCTTTTTTCAAATTAATGGCTAGAAGACAGTTCACTCAGTTTTTCAAGAAAAAGAAGACAATCTCCACTGCTAAAATGATGACACACTCAAAATGACATATGAGTAAAAAGCCTGAGCACAAGTAACTTTTCCTGTGCTTTTCAAAGATTTGGGATCAGATGAAAAACAGATTTGATCTCAATCTCTTGAATAACACCAAGATGTAAGTGAAGTCTCTCCAAGGTCACATTGGAGAATCCAAAATCAAAAGCTGATCAAAAATACTTGTGAAGCAGACACACACACACAGGCTGTTCCAGAAGAGAGGCTCTGCAGAACAGAAAGCTCTTTATATTCAGTATGAACTTGCCTCAACAGAACTCTCTGAAAAAGTGATCAGAGACACTGTGTAAAGAGGTGAAGAAAATGCTTATACAAAAATAATAAAAGAAGAAACAAAACAGAGGCACTTCACATATTTTTTCCAAAAGATATGCATGGGACAAAAATACTGTACATCTATTTTCCAACTCTTGCATGTAATTTGGTTTTTGTCTATAGTCTGTAATTCCCTTTAAGAGTAAAACATAGACTAGTACAGATAACTACTCTGAAGGAATGGATGCACAGAATACTAAAGACCTGCATGTAGGCTCTCCCCTTTTGCACGTAACAAAATTCCCCTTTTCTAGAAATTCTGTCCATACTCCTGGGCCAGGAATCAGAATTCAAAGAAAGTGGGCAAAGAGGAAACCATCCAAATTCTGTTTGTTCATGAGCCCCTGACTCTGAGAGGAGTAACAAGAGGGGTCAGGGAAGTGTTGCAGACCCAGCCGTGGCTGTTGAAAAAACAAAAGTGCATCTTGATAAACACAGTTGAAAAATATCTCTGATGTTAGCAAAGAATGGTTCACCTCACAGTTATTTTGCATGTAATGTGGAAAACATTATTTCTCACAAACTTCACAAATAACCCCTCAGAATTTAGTGTTCAACCCTTATTGAAATAACAAGGGTTCAGAGCCATACAAATGCACAGAAGTAGACAGTAGGCATCTAAATTCTGTCTAACATCACGGACAAAAAATTAATTAGCTGTAAACTAAATCACTGAGAAGGTAATAATATATGAAGATCGGGTATGAAGGTTATTTATGCTTACAACCACCTTGGCACAGGTTTGTGCACCTTATTCATTAAATAAGCTACAACCTGCCTTGTTGGTATGCCCCAAAAAGCCCCGAGGGACTCACAGGCTGAGCTGAGTAAGGTCACGCACCAGCTGCATATTGCACCTCGTTCTGCAAATAGTGCACCCATGCTAAACTCGAGCAAGCCTGAGCTTGACACAAACCAACAGATTGCCCCTCAGAGCAATTCTCTCGAGATAATGAGCACAGAAAGCTGAGAAATAAAAAATTGTATGCACTTTGACAATAATAACATACCTGCTTTGAAAATTCAGAAGTTCACTGTTAATTTTTTCAAGATTTATATCACTCCAAAGCATTTCATTGTATCCATCGATACTAGCAGTAACTGCATTATAAAGACTGTAAAGTTTCTGAAGCAATGAAAGCTCACGTTTAATTTTGTGCAGTTCAGGGTACTCTGTTTCAAATTTTAAAAGGAGAAATTTGTGAATGTTATTGGGTATTTATGTATTCATGAACATAAAAATCCATGTATTTCTAATACTGGTATTTAATAAATGTCAGAAACCAGACTTGCAGTCTTTTAGATAGTGTCTAGGAAGACAAACTTTTCCAGTTACAATATGTAAGCACATCAGATTTTGATGCATAGTAATTGTTTATATTGCTGAGTTTTTTATAAATATTCTTCTATAATGGTAGATTAATCTTATAAGTGAGGTGTTGCACCTCTCTGTGAGGAAGACAATGTTGAAAAAGGAACCCACTATCATTTTATACAAAGACTAAAATATCCCACATCTCAGTTTGTGTTATTCATTTAAGAGGCAGAGGCTGGGGATTGGGGCTGTGCTTTCAAAATAAAAACCATAGAATATGTTATACAAAGAAAGTATTTAAAATGGATCTCCTCAACAGAAATGTTTGGGTTGGTTTCTCTCATATCTTCAGGAATTCCTAGTGAAGTATATTGTGATCATTGCATGTGTCTTCTGACAGGAAAATATACTGAGTTTAGTATGTGCAAATTAAAGTGCTTATCCTACATTCTGCTCTAACTCTAATTCACACCATGGTCTTCCAAGCTTGAAGTGTGTCTGACTAGGTGACATAAGGATATTACAGATCAGTTGCACAGCCCAAGGGAATTCATTATATATCTGGAGCAGGGACAATTTGACTACTTAGGCAACGTGTTTCCCAAATTTGGACATGGAAGAATACAGACAGGAGATGCGCTTAGCTCTGAACAGAAAAAGCAAGAGAACTAAGCAGTTGGACCCTAAGGTACACAGAACAGTGCAATAAAGATATTGCACTCTTATTACTGATTTTTGTTATTACTGATATTGCACTAATATTTTTGTTATTACTGATATTGCACTTTCCACCTGATGTTTATATACGTTCAGACTGAGAGCCGGTTTCGCACAGCTGCTTTTCACAGGAAAGACAATAATAACTTACTGCAAGGAATTTTTCTAGAATGAATTCAGCACTGAATGCATTTAGCAGGACTCGCAAGAAAAATGTAATAGCCTAGGACCAGCTATCCATATCCCCTGAGACACTACCTGTAATAGGAAGACCAAATAATTCTTCCCCACCAGAAAGGGAGATATACTTCCGCCATAGTTCATCAAATTTGGCTTGAAAGATCTGTAATCTGTCACTTGCTTCATGGGGAGGAACATTCTCCTCACTGGGGCCCCTGTAAAAAACCAAAACAAATTCAATGCCAGTATCAACCATAGAGGTTTCACAAAGAAGCACAACAGAACCCAGACATTATTTACTGAACAGTATTTAATATTTTCTAATATTTTTTCTAGAAATTTTCACAGAAGATACTAAAAGAGAAAATAGAAAGTATATTCAGTGTCCCAACATCAGACACTATACAGTCCCTGAAAGAAAGCCCTATTTATTTTCTAATAATAAAATTCTTTTGGGTTACCACACACATTACAAACAGCTAAAAAGATCTACAAATGTTCTGTCTTTGTTATTTTCCATTTTTTTCTCCTGTAAAGTATGATTTAATGATTATTTATATTCTTAAAAAGGGAAAGACAGCAGATATATAATTCAGGGGTGAAAACTGTGGTAGCTGGTACTAGAACCATAACTAAGCACTCAGAAAAATAGCAGAAAAAATATGATTTTGCCCTAATAAGTACATCTCAGCTAGAGGACTGGGTGTACTCCCCAGCCCTCACACCTGGGATCACCTCTTGGCTGCATCATAATATTTTGGGATGAGAACTGTAAGTATGTCATCTTCTGTTGTTGGTTATTTCTAGGTTATTACAGGTACACGGACATCAGAGGGCAGTGCTGGCTGGTTGCTTGGCAAGGAAAATGGAACCAGTAGATGAAAGCAGTAACGTGGTCATCAGAGGCAGCAGGGCCTGAGCAAGGACAGCAGGGCAGGCCTGGAGATGACTGGTAACAGCCTCAGGGTGTTTCCATGAATTCCTCTGGACAACTCCGAGGGCAGAACTGCAGGCAGCAGTACGCATGCATCCACATTAGCAACTTGGTGCTCTAGCAGGTTGCTTTTAGGTGCAAATTCACCTCATGTCTAGAGCTGGCGTTTTAAAGGCACCGCTAGTGTGCCTTAAGAAATTTCTCTTCTGGTGAAGCCAAACACCTGATTCCCATTTGGACCACGCACCCAGGAGTGTGTGCTCTACGTGTGCAACTGAATAATTCTGTCCGTAACAGCAAGGCAGCCTGCAGAGGCTGTACATAAAGCTGCTTCACACTGCCCATGGGCTATAGGTGTACTGTGCACATCTAGGGTCAGCAGCCGATGTGAACTCCATTGCCAAAATCCATACACTGTGTGTATTGTCCTAGAACCATAACAGATCACAGGAAACCAAATTCTGGTCTTTTTTCTTCATTGCTAATGTAGAAGTGTCCAATGGAGCACACACACACAACAATTTATATTAAAAAAAAAAAAAAAAGCCCAAGTAAGCTTAGAAGTAAGACTAAGACTCAGTAAACTTGGAAACACCTAGAACTGGAATCTCCACTCACATCCAAGGAGCTACATATTATACTTAAATATCTGCTTAAGTACTTTGTTGAGTTTAGAACCTGAAATAAAAATCTTTAAATTTGGATCTAGATTGAGAATTTAATCTCCCCACAACCTACTAATTCTTTTGGAATTTCACCAACTCCAGCACTGAAATTTTGGGAATGAATATGTGAAGTAAATCAGCCCATCTTATATTATTCTGAAATTCGGCTTTTTTTATCAGCTTTCATATATACATTGAGGCTGTGCTGCGTATATTTTCTGAAGCCCTTTCAATACACTATTTTTGAACACTCACTAGTGAAGCATAATGTATTGCACCACAGGTCACCTACTTTTCATTGTAATCTTTGCAAAATTCTGCAGTATCAATCTGGAATTTTTGAACACCACTCAGTAAATCTGTTTTCATCTCTGGCTGTACCTTCAGCAGCAAGTCCTCAACCTGCAGTGCCTACATGTAAACAAACGGGGAAAACAGGCATAAGAAAGGCAGGAAAAAAGCAGAGTTTTAAGTAAGAAAACAGTTTTGTTCTAACATTAAAAGTTTTGTTCAGCATTAAAAAGGCTGACAATAACCTTGGTATATATATAATTTCAGAAATAATACAGCTATGATACCTGTGTGTTTAGGTTCTTCCAGGCATAAGCCAATCCATCAACTCTTTCTGTATTTCCATCTTGAAAGAGCAGATTGTATTTATGAAGCACAGAGTAAGATTCTTCTATAGGTCCAACTGTCATGTCAATTTTGACCTCATTCTCTCGAATTTCCTTTAGTGCTTCCATTGCTCCCCGTACATCATCAAGGTCATGGATAGGTCTGCTTAATCTCTTGCTAACATTTTCAATGAACAAATAGATTTCATCCATGTCTGTAGCAGACTTCTTATTCAAAGCTAATGAAGCACAGAGTAAGATTCTTCTATAGGTCCAACTGTCATGTCAATTTTGACCTCATTCTCTCGAATTTCCTTTAGTGCTTCCATTGCTCCCCGTACATCATCAAGGTCATGGATAGGTCTGCTTAATCTCTTGCTAACATTTTCAATGAACAAATAGATTTCATCCATGTCTGTAGCAGACTTCTTATTCAAAGCTAATCCAAATATTCTTTGTCTTGTCTGAATTAAGGCTATTTTCAATGACTCTGTCGCAATATCCACAGATTCCAGTACACAGTGATTTGGCAGTTCTCTGATTTGCATTTCTAATTGCTAAGACAAACACAAGTGTACAGCTTTTAATTTCACTACAATTTCTCTGAACAGTTTATGTTTATTAGAGAGATAATACTTACAGAAAAGTATCCAATTTGGGTTTGGAATTCAGCCGTTGTTGGTTTAGTATCTATAAATTCCCTCACTTTTTCCTCTGGATCCTATATAAAAGAAGTTTGTATTAATTATTATCTATCATTGTTACTACGATAAACTGCAGGGGACCCAGCTGCCCTATCTACTGTGCAAACACAAATGAACCCTCTCTAAAAGAACTTAAGATATATGCACTAAGATTAAATTATTTCACTTGAACTGCTTTTGTTGACTCTTCGTACAGTACTTTTTCAAGCACTTAACAACCACCTGTAACTTAAAAACTGACCTAGACCAGGATATCCCTTACCCATTCAAATATTTCTACAAAATTTACAAGGTAGCTGCTAAAGCTTTGCTGGAAATATTTCCTTCACTGTTTCCCTTCTGCCTGCAACCCCCAAAAGCAGCTGGCATCCTCTAACAGGTATTTAAATGGTAGTGATTGTACTGAGACAACTTCACCCTTCCTGAAACAGCATACTGAAGTGCAGTTTCTAGCTACAAATGGACCAGCCATTTGCAGCAAGCACAGTTTGGCAGGGAATGATGGATCTAAGGGAAGAGGGGTCATTTAGCTTGTTGAAGCTTGTTTAAAGGGAACAGAGCACTGAGCATCCTTCCTTTTCATAAGGTAGGCCAGTCTCTGCAGAGGTGAGAACTTCACCAGCTTAACAAATGTGTTAGATTCTCAGTTCAGTTACAGACAAATGATCTTTCCCCTCAGGGACGTTCATCTACACTCTGTGCTTGAGGTCCCTGAGAAGCTGTTATGGCTTCTCTGGCCAATAATGAGTTACCAGTGACAGTTCCCAGTGGTCCTACAGAAATTATAAAGATGGAGGGAAACATTGCCAAATCTTAGGGAATTTTAAGGTTAAGGAGCAGATTGACTCTTTTAGAAGATTTTAGTAAAAAGGAAACATTATCGCACTACTGCATCATTCAGTCTGATCATGCCTTGTCTAGGTGAAATGACATACCATCAATACATGGTTAGATCAAACAGTATCTCCAAAAAGACAGGTAACTAAGCATTAAGATTTGGAACACTAGAAGTCAAGAAGAGGTGAAAATTCCCTGTCTTAACCTGAGCTCCAGCTGTAGAAGTGTCAGAGGGTGTCACAGAATCAGCTGCAGGAAAGTGGTCACCTATGAGGTGGTTTAGGAAGGGAAGTTAAAAATAGTGAGTAGTTATGAAGATTACTTCTGGTGTGATTGCTTCTCAGCCTGACTAAAGCACCTCTTGATAGGCAGGACCAGTAGTTGTCCATCCACACAGAACTGAATTTCACTAGTCAGAATCTACACATGGTTTTATTTCATTAAATACCTCATGCCAAAACACTCCTCTGAGCTTTACCATTTACGTGACTGGACCCACTTCCTAATGAAGACAACTCCATTCTCTTCTGCTTTGGAATCCTTATTACTAGAAAGACTTCCTAAACTTAGTTTATCACGTTTGTGAAGAAATAGAAAAGTTGCTTTTAGCAATGGTTACTGAAGAAGAACTAGTCAGTTGAACGTTCAGGAACTGTTTTGAAGTCTGCAGTTTGATAACCTATACAGACAAGATGCTGTGAGAAAGAGGCACAAGCATATGAGAGCATAAGCTTGTTCATTCTCCCAGCATACTTTTTTGTTCTTCTGCTTTCTTCCTTAGATGGATTAATTGGTAAAGAACAACAAGTCCTGGTCAACACAAGAGGAGACAGAGGAGGTACTTTGGTATATGGATTATACTATGAAACCAAAGCTTCCTACTGAATACACAGTTTCCCTATGCAACCCAAAACCATTTACTTAAAAGATTTCTCAATACAGCAACATATTTTATTAAATATGTGTTTAACCTTGTTCCAGATGCCTGAAAATTCAGAAAAGCTGTTCAGAAGATCTGATGCTTTATCTCTGAGAGATAAAATAATTGTATTTAGTTGGATCACCACTTTGTTCACATCCTTATGCTCGATGATCTGTTTGTCTAAAGGTTTCAGTGCCACCATCCTGATGAGTTTACTCTCGTCACCTAGCTCTACAGCAGCAGCTTGTTCAATCTGGCATAAATTAAACAAGAAAAAAACATATGTCCAGTAGTTTTATATATTTTTTTACATTATAGAATGCCCGATAATGCACACACAATAAGTGCTTCTAAGAACAGATAGAAAGTGCAGAAAAAGCATCCACAAGGAGACTCTCTCTTCTCAGCTTGGGTTTTTACAGAAATATAGTTCTAGTGTAAAAGCTGATTTTATAGAAAATTGCCATGAGGAGCTCTAAATTAATCATATCTGACATCTGTCAAATATGTGTCATATACAAGCATGACCATGCTCTTTCCTGCTCCTACACAGCTGCTCAGGTCTTCCTGCTTTCTTCAGTGTAGAATTACAACCTATACCTATGCTCGGCTAAAAAAAGGTCCTGTAGGCGGTGATGGGTTGGCTGCTTGGAAATAAGCAAACAGTTCTGCTTGAGGAAACTGAATTCAACTCACTCTCTCCTAGTTGGGTTTTTTTTTAATTATTTATTTGCAGGACTTGAATGTTGGTGGGAGGGGTTTTCTTTTTCATTAAAATGAGCTGATCTGGTTTTTATGTCAGATCAACAAAATAGGAAGATATTTTTACAAAGACACTTTTCAGCACAGCTCTAGAGAGATCTTTATTTCATTACCAAAGGAGAGTTAAGGCCATCTGATTACTGTGCATTTCAGCTTCTATCTATACATCAGACCTCCCCAAGGTTTTAGTGCTCATTTTAATGCCAGTTAAAATATTTATATTGTATTTGCTGTAGCATTATAGGTGCTGTATGCATCCTGAAAGTTTAATTTAAAATACAGTTTTTGCCTGGGAGCATTGATAATAATTTATACTCAGCTAGTAATACCCACAGATAATGTCAGTTTGCTCACATTATCTACAATATTATCATCATATTTGAACAGTATATATAAAAGTTTTTTTTTTAATCAAACATTGACTTTATTATTAGAAACCACCAAACATAAGGTTTCTGAATTATTATCACTCTTCTGTTCAATTACTCAGTACAGAGATTAAAAACTAGGCTTTCACTTAATAGGAAGGTCCACCAGATTACAAGTCAAAGTATTGGTGTAGAACACATGAGATAAAATGTTAGTAATTTGGTTAACATTTCTTTAAAACAAACAAATTAAAACACTCACCTGCTGCTGCTGCTGATGTAAGTAAGCAAATTTCCACAGGGGGATATCTTTGGCTATTGATAAGATGATATTTACTGCTTTGTTTACAGCACTCTGAAAACAGCAAAACATTCACCTTGAGCACACAGAGAGATTATGACAAATAAGGGCGGGGAGGGGGGAGCGGTGTGTGTAAAAGAATCTTCCAAACAATAGCAAAATGGAAAAATTATACCTCTATCTTTACAGGAAATATTCTAATAAGAATGAAATAGGATCACCCAAAATACATTTTTTTTTTTGAAAGAGTACTCCATAAAGCTTTATCATGGTCCTTCTATGTTTATGTGGTTTTCAAACAAGAACATAAAAGACTTTTATGAGCAGGAATCGTGAGTCACTGGGCACTGTAACTTAGTTCTAGTACAATTTCCCCTGAAACTGGTTATAAACATAGTTTTATATTAAATTTATATAAAATATTTTTATCAAATAATATCTTTCACATACCCATCAGAAAGCCTGAACACATTTGTCTAAATTTGTGATGAGTCTGATAAGTCTATAATTTACATAAGTTATTCTATAACTTCTTCTATCTATGCTATTTGAAAATTACACTTTGTGATCTGATTTCTTACTGACACTGCCAGGGAGGCTGCAAATGAAACTGGAGAAAGAAATCAACTATTGATTTTGACAGTGCCATTGCTAAATGAAATGTCCAAAAACCAACACCATAACCAACAAATACTTTGTGAATAATTTCAGACATCATAGGAGATTGTAAGTACGCGCATAAAAAATTTGCTGAATTGGTCTAAATGAATGTTCACATTTTTTCACAGTTTTCAGCCCTGGGCTGGTAATATTTTTCTTTACGTTTCACTACTGCGGAATGCTGATTTATGAATGATACGTTAGACCAATAGCATTGTTTTATATTCTGAGAGAGTCTCAGGAGACCAGGAAGTCAAATCAGGCTGCATCAATAGCATTTATTTTTAATTTTGCATTCATTTTGAAATGTTTGCCCCTAAGTAGAGGTTTGTGAAAGTGAATTATTGAGCTTTGAGGAAAACAGTTCCTTCTAGTGGCCTCCATCATAACCCTGATCGGTGCCTTCACATCCTGAGTTCCTAGTGGTGTCACAAAATCCAGTGACTTTTTTTCCCTTCTTTTTAGTTCTTAGATTAAATTTGCACGTGTCGTTTTACAACAATGCATTTATAAATGTTTTATGACGAATGACTGAGATGTGCGATTATTTTGTTACCTGAATATTTTCAAGACTTGGTCTCAAAACCACATTTGGAATAGCCAGTTGAATTTCAGCTTTGAACAAAGGAACCCTCTGTGTCTCTACGAACTTGATCATCTGATACCTAGAGTCAACAACATGCAATCGATGTCTTAAGGACTCTAAAGATATCTTCGTGCCTAAATAAATACAATATTTAGGTTAGGTTTGGGGGATTTTTTTACCACAGTAAGCTTGGGGGGGAGAGGGGATCATAAAAATTATCTTAAAAAATATAACGTATCTGAAAAAGACAGACTCACATCTGACTAGAGAGTCAGTATTCTTCTGACAAAGCTGTCCCATCAGATTATAGTAGCTACAGGACAGGCATTCTTGGCAGCGTGTTTTCTGCTTCATGTCTGGATGCGTACAGGCGTATGAATCCTGAAGAGTTAAAGGGAAGTTCTATAACCATATAGTCCAGCATGTATCCACTATCTGACTAGGTTATAAAAGGTTACTTGTTACACCAAAGAGGTCTTACCTCCAGAGTTCTTCGGGCATCTGCTTTCAGCCTGTGCTTAAGAACATCTACCAGTTCATAGGTAGAGCGTTCAACTTGTTGACTCTGTCTACAGAAACAACGTTACAGTCACCCACAGGGAATCAAACTCAAAGAATACCCTTTGTTACTTTCCAGGCACACACTCCCAGTCCTACTGCACTGTGAAGAATTCTATGTGAAGGGAAAAATACCCTTGAACTTTTCAGTTTGTTTCAACTCCTGAAGCATACGGACAATGTAAGACATTAACATGCAGACAATAAAGAAACCCATTTGTCAGACTCTGTTGTATCTGATTTAACAGGACTTCACAATAATCAAAGGAAAAAAAGTTATTTTCCAGCTATAGTTAACAAAACAGGCTTATCATGATGATGCAGGAGGTTAATATGTGAGATTAGAATTAGTAAAATAGAAACAAAATAATAAATGAAGGTATCCTATTTTGCACAATGAGCATAGACATGTTTTTGGAGAAGAACTGAACAATTATTCTGCTATAGCCTAGAAAATAAGCATAGGCCAAAAAATTTGTAGCACTGGGAGAATGGGAAGTCCAACACTACCTAGCCATAATTAAGTATCAAGGAATTAACATGGGGATGAGATTTCAAGTCTTATCCATCTTCATTTTTCTTGTTACTGATTAGAATGCCATGAGAAGAAAGGTATGAAATGCTAAAGACTACACATGAAATTTTACAACTGCTATGTTCAAGATACTTGGGAGTTTCTCCCCTGCATCCTGACATTTTGCTTTAGACTGTTAAAATAAAATTTTAGAAGTAAACTCTCTATGCATAAAAAAGTAATACATAAATAATCCCTCCCATATATGGCCTTGAAATGTGTGCAATTAGTAAACCTACTGAGACAGTTTGTGAGCAGTAGAGACAGCAAGCTTTTCTGTCTGTTCCACGAAAGAAAGCACATCTATAGGTTCATCTTCAGGCAAAATTATGAGAGCAGTGTTCGACATATCCTCTAGAGTTCTTTCAATTCTGCATTCCAGGGTATCAGCCGCTTCTTTGACTACATAGTCCAACTTCCTCAGGGTACTATAAACATTCTCAATAACTAAGCAGGAAAAACAAAACGGAAACAAATCATGCAAAATACAGACCCTTAATATCACGTCTCCCCTCCCCTCTATCCCTCCAGGTATTAGAATAAAATGAGGATCTAATGGCAATGAAATATGCAATTAAGGCCTGAAATAGAAACATGATGGACTTGCTCTACTTTAGAGTCTTTAAATTAAACTATTTTATAATAAAGAGTACACTAGCCTTCAAAATATCTCTTCTTTTTTGTACTAAACAACACTGTAATGAAAAGGATCGTAAAATACAATCCAAAACAACAATACAACTGACCAAATTTTTTTTTTTCACCCTACATACATACATAATGAAATCTAGTACTTTTATAATTGTAATTAACTTGTAAATATAATGGCTAGAATTCCCCCAGCCAAGATCATATACTGGTTAAACCACCAAACGTCCTCTTTCACGTATATGACCTAACTTACTTTGGAAAGAGATATACTGCGTGCTTTAAAAGGTGTGTTTATTAAACTAGGTAAAAACAACTGTTTCTGGATAGACTGGATACATTCTTTCCCTGCCTTTCATATTTTTCATTGCAAAGCAGAAAAAATATGTCACCTGACACCCTTTTTTTCGTATTTGTATTTTACCAGGCAGTATCACTGAATCACCAAAACTCTTTCTTATTGTATGTAGAAAAAAATCACTATGATAACCAAGACACAGCTGTGGAACAGTGGTGTCCAACTGCTGATGCTTTAAGTGGAAAACATAATTTATACCTATTAGGAAGTTAGTGATGGAGCTTGCCTTTTTTATTGACTAAAACAGACAAATATTCTAACCAATTTCTTAGCTTTTTAAAAAAAAATTTAAATTACGTAGTCCTAAATCCATTTTTCACCTTGTATCCTGAGATTTAGTCTAGGAGGCAACCATGAGCCCCCATAGTTCTACATATTAGATGGAAATAAGGCACTTTAGCCATTAATCTCATGCATAATGAGTTCAGCACATCACTGGCACGTTATATATATATATATATATCCTATATATATATATATATATTGTATACCCTGAACCAATGGCTGATTTCTAAGAGTCCAACATGCATTCTGGGTACATTAGACATTGCACATCTTCAAAAAGATATGATGCATACACTTAAGAAAAGCATTCCTTTCTAGGAATGATTCCATTTCAGCTGCAGCAACAGGGAACAGGAGGTAGCCCATATACTTCTGCATTACCTCTATCTTGTCAAAAAAAGGCCAGTTTCCACCAGAGCAAATGCTGAACCAAAGAGCCATTAAAACCTGAATTTTAGCTATTCAGATACTTAACATAGTGCAGAGAGTACCTAAATTAATAAACATATGAATAATATTGAATAAGACCTTCCTTATGATGCATTATGAAACTATGCAAACCAAACATAAAAATTCATTCTAGAGCAATAAAACAAACATAAATAAACACTTGCCATTGTTTATGTGTGCTGTGCTCAGGCCAAGGTCATGTAAAGTTAAAAGGTGACCAGCCCTGCCTTAAGTGTTGGTCAGAGCCCTCTGCACCAGTGCCACGTGGTACAGTCACAAATGAAAAGCTGCAGAAACCCACGCTCCATTTCACTTTCAGATTTAGGCTGCATCTGTTCCTGTTTATCTTGCTGCTTCTCATTTTGAAGAAGTGAAAGCCTAACATCAGCCTTCCTCAACCGAAAAATGATTTACAAGCACGCTTTCCCCTCGTATAGATGGAGTGCTCTTCCCAAAACTGACAAGGAAATGCCTGGCTCATACCACCTAACAGCATCAACGGTTCACCACTACTTCCCTTACTACATACATCTACTGATGTTCAAAGAAGTCCATGACAGCTGCACCAGACCCGGAGAAAGGGCATCCTCAACTTGTTCTATGAATGGTTTCATCAGTGGTCTCAGCATAACAGGAATCGCATCCAGACGCTCTTTGTAATTGACCAACAGATTCTGGAGTCTACAAGATAAGATCATGTTTAGAACATACTTAATTCAGTTACTTGAAACACACAGAAGTTTGGACACGTTTTCTGTTAAGAAGATTTGCAAGTTTTGACCCCACGTTAAAACCTAAGAATTCTTCCCAGCTCTTCCTGGCCCAAACTAAGCCTCTTTCTCCCCATTAACAGCAGAACCAGACTGAAGAAATGAGTACCACCATCAAAGTGTCTGTGACCAATTTAGAGAAACTTGCTTCCAAGGAAAATCAATTACAATTATGATTATGATTCTAATTAAAAAACCCCAGGAAACTGAAAACACAGTATTTTTGTTCCCTTCCTCCTATCTCACACAACATGGTATGAAATAACACTGCTTATAAGAAATGCAAGATCCAGACCACTTAGGACACCAAATCCCCATGAAAAAGAGGCCAAATTCGGAATCAAGTCTTACCAATATAGTTCCATGAAAACAGAGCTACACAGTGAAGATGCATAACAAAAGTTAGAAGTGAATGCAACTCAGAAGTCAAAGATACAAAATGGGTTCCTTACAAGAACTGCTGCAAAAAAGGTAATAGCTGCATTCTGTGCCAGATTAAACCGTGACTTCAAAGATCTTTGTTACAAACTGTACATTGAGATAGCCCCTTTAAAATATACCCAGAACTGTTTTTCCAGTTTTCCTTAAGCAAAATTCTACAGTATCTGAATATTCCTTCTTTGCTTGGGGACTCAGTCTGACTTATTTTTAGTGTAGAAAATAAGTTTGGATATTTTTTTATTGCAAACATGTTCTATACTTTGATGTTTCTCTTGGATGGCAAAAGTTGGGGCTGTTCCTTTTTAGAGGACTGTAGCACACAGTTTGCCTTCCACATTAGAAATTTTAGGTTAGTTTGTCCTGAAACACTCCACAGATAACGAAATTGAAATAAGGAAATTTTCATATTATAAGAGTGAAACACCAAAATCTTTAACAGTAGAAAAAGGGAGGAGGGGTTGCATTCAAGTGTTTATGAAACTCTGAACTTTGTTCCTTTTTGCCCACTTTTATTTAAAAATTATCTAAAGAACACTCCTCACTAAGAACGACTTTTTTAAGACCTAGCATCCTTGCTTATAGAGTTAAGAGAATTAATAATCAGCATCCCTAAGAATGAAAGGAATTCTTCCAGCACAGAAGTGAACTGTTATAAGAAGCAGAAAGAAATTATTTTAAATCAACAAAAGTTATTTCATATATTCAACATGAAAGAGCATATTACAGCTTAGGTGGTGTATTACCTACACAAATGTTTGGGTTGTGCCTTAATCAAGTGGTAAATTCCAGATTGTTTTTCTAACAGAAATAGGTTTTTCATGTTAACTGTAATATTTTGGTGTGTAATCCCTATGTTAGAGTGCATAGATGCCTTAGCAGTACCTAGGAGCTCCACGGACAGAGCAGCTGATGCAGCAACAGGAGCATTTAGGCATTTTCTAGTAATGAGATATTTGTGGAGATAGGAACAACTGCATGTTACCAATATTACTATGGAAATGGAGGGAAAAGAAATTAAATTTCAATTAAATTCCATCAAATAGAAAAACTATAATAAATCAAAAGCATGTGCAACAGACACAGAACTAGGGATCTCCATTTGCAGATGAGAATTCAAAACCAAAAAGTGTTCACTCACTCCACTTGATGTCTTTTAATCTGCTTTTCAGCTGCACACAAGCCAAGGACAACATCTGGAACTTCAAAATGCATTTTTTTCAGGTATTTTGTTTCATAAAGTACTTCCAGGACCACTGGGTCCAAGTTTACAAGTAATTCCTTCATGTAGCAGTACAGAGGCAAGAAAAGAGAAATAGAAAATAAGGCAGTAATTTGGTGGTTACATGACATGTAGTGTGATACAACTGGAACATATAATATAACAAGATGTAGATGACTAGAGATTTTTTAAATGGATACTCATGCATCTACACAGATCTTCATCCTCCTCTACAAATATCTGGATTTTCCAAAGTATTAATCAACCAATATCTTACACTGATTTCAGTGTCCTGTGACTCCTTCACTGTGCCTTAACCACTTGGCTCCTGTGACTTCCTTTGTTTAATTCCAGCTCTGCAGCTATACTCTATGGAAAATAATTTTATTCTTCATCTCAGTTTCTCCATTGGTAGACTAGGGAGAAGTGTTGTGAAGGTTAATCTCTGTACACTTTTGAGGGCACTAAATACTATTAAGATGCTAAATAAATTTGAAAACTAGGTTCTAGTTGGCCAATTTAGAATCATTAGTTCAAAAAATGTCATGTTTTAACCATGATTTCTCTGCACTATAACAGAAAAAATAATCTGTGAAATAAGAATGGCAAGATTTTCTGTCTCAGCAAGCAGTTTTGAAAGCAAATTAAAGAATGATTGCAATATACCCAACACAGTGATGTTGACCACTACAGAAAAGATATAGGAAAGTCAATAATAAATACATATTTGCTGGGTAATGCCTCTTTTATGCCTTGAATGAGGCAGGAGCCTTGCAAAGAAGAGATGTGATGAAGTCCGTACCACAAATATACACAAAAAGAAAAAACAAAACAAAACAATTTGATTTGTTCATTTCTTTTAACCCCCTGAGGATTATTTTAATGCTGTGCTTGTCTATCCATGATATGATTAAAGTAGCATGTGTATTACTAAACAATGCAACAGTAATACAAAGAATAAACCGTATTTACCTTGGTTTCTGGGTGCCTGACAAGTAAGGAAGCATAGAGAGCATTTCTAGCCTGGTCAGCAAACCTGCACCAGGCTCTATGATAAATAAGTTCAAATTCTAAAAGAACTGCAGCCATTTTATTGTAGCTCTTAACAACCTCTTTCATTTCGCGTGTCTGCAATTCAAGAAGGAAAAAAAAACCAAACACCATTTAAACAATGTGATGGGTCTACCATCTTAGGAATGCCCTCTACTAGGCTATTCCTCACCAGCACTAGGAAAACAAAACAAATAGAAAGCTTTAAGTCATGCTATTTTAGAGATGAGATAAGGTAAGACACAAAACAGTAAAAATATATTTAGGAATTCAATTATTAAGTATTTAACTGCTCTAAACAACGTAATACTTTTCATGATTTTTCCTCCCAGTCTTGCCCATAAAACAAAGCCTATACTATGACCTATACAAGGCACTGATGTCTCATCGGGAAAGCTATAAAATTATATCCTTTCATGAAGTGTGGCTAGTGACTGACGTTAAATATCTCAGTCCTCTTCATTATGCAGTGTAGCAGACAGGAGGCTCTAAGCTCAGGTACACAGCCAACAGAGCTACTATCAGGATTAACATGAGTCAAGCCACAGAAGGGACAAAAGCACTGACCTAAGTCATCAGCTTAATGTCTCAGGGGAAGTAAATGTCCTAAGTTGCAGAATAATGCTGCAAAAAGGAATTTAAACCTTGCAGCAAACACTAACACCTATCCTGTTGGATGAGCTTGAATGCAAGTTGCTAGAAAAGTGAGCTTAGCATTATAAAAATAAATCATGTGTCTGTCAATAACATGCTTGAAAGTTTAGCATAAATCCTCCCCTCTGCTAATTTCCAACCTTCAGAAGTGTGGTTTTCTTTTTAAGGAATGTCATTGGATGGTCAATTTTTCTGTATAACTGCTCAGCCCACATAATCTTCCCTGTTACCTAAAACACAGAAGATATGAGGTTATATTTCCATTAACTTAAAAACAGTCAAGAAGCAAAGTCCTTTTTCTCTCTCATTTATTTCATTCTTACTGGTGGTATATTACGTGATACAGGTGGATTTTCTTTTTGCTCCTGATAGAGTTTTCGAACAAACTCCAAGTCTTGGCTGTACTGTTGAAGGACAATGGTATACTTCTCACTGAGATCAATGTGATTTTCTCCTATTTTTTCAAGCTTCATCAGAAGTCCCAGCATCTGTTCAGTCTAAAAAGAAGGATGGAGCATTTAGTCCAGAATATGTTAATAGTTCAGAAAGTCATTGTTCATAAACGGTTTGGTTTTTTGGGTTTTTCTTTAATTTATGTTATATAAGTTTTCTAAGAAAAGCAAAAAAGTCCATCCAGACAAGTTAGTGAATTTTACTTCTGTATTTTGTCCCATTTAGAACAGAGATACCAGAGTAGGAACCAAGAAACTGCTACCACTACAGTATACTGGGATATTTAACTTTTTTCTGACTCTCAAATCATCACCCTTTTTTTCTGCCAACAGCTGTGGTAGAGCACCTACACCTTTAATCATGCTTCAATAACACCTCATATCACAATCAGGGCCTGAACCAATGAATGGTACTGACATTAAGGTAACAGGTGGCAAAAATTATTTCATTACTCCTGCCAGTCCAACAGAAATAAATGCAAGAGAAATGCATCAATGTCCTCCTACAATATCTCAGGCAGCCCCTAGCACAGTACAGAACATGGGCAGTAATGAAAGATTTCAGTATGGCCTGTGGGTCTCAGTCTTTTGGAGCACCAGAACAAGGGGATTTCATTTGTAAAATTACTTACAGTTACAGTCTGCTCAAACCAGGAATCCACGAATTCTTGTATGGACTCATATAATGCTGCAATTTGGTTCTTAAATTCAAGGTAATCTTTTTCAAACTAGAAAAGGGTTAAAAAAAAAAAAAAAAACCTCTAGTGTTGCTTTCATTCACACAAAGTTCTGACCCTGAAGTTTTTGGGGATCTTGCTTTATCTGCTCAGGACATGTGTTCAGCACCGAATTAAACAGAACAGGGACAACACCAGTAACAAAGGCATTTACATTCTAAGCAAAGGAAACAAAACCCAAGAAGTGTTAGGTTATATGATTAAAGCCTCTTCATGAGCACAAAGGAGCAAGGAACAGGCTGCCCAGGGAGGTGGTGGAGTCACCATCCCTGGATGTGTTTAAGAGACAGGTGGATGAGATGCTGAGAGATATGGTTTAGTGGCGGACAGATACGGTTGGACTGGATGATCTCTAAGGTCTTTTCCAACCCAGTGATTCTATGATTCTATGACTGGCAGAGGAAATCTAATAACCTCATCAGAGAGAACACAGCACGCTCACCAGCTGCTCCCAGCACTGCCACGGGAGAGCGCTCAGCTCACTGTCTGAACTAGAGTCTCTCCACCTCACAGACTAAGGGAGGTTATTGCCTAGGAGGCAAGGGACTCATTACAGTTTACCAGGGAAAAGCATTTTGGGACTATACAAAACATTTTATGGGAGTTAGGGAAGAAGCAAAGTCAGGGATCAATGTGGTTTGTGGGAGGAACAAGGAATTATGACAGCCTCACCCCTATTGGGCAATCAAATTCAGCAGCTCCTAATTAGAAGTAGGGCATTTACCTGTAATAATTTGGGTATTTATCTCTAACAATTTTTCCTAAAAGTCCAAAGGACTGAGGACCTACAAGAATAATTCAGTGCTAATTTCCCCTTGAAGAAAAAACTCCACATGCTTGGGAAGATAGTCTAAAATATATATTGCTCCAACCATTTAGGTGTAGAATAGCCACACAATTTTTAAACACCTTCAAATTCCAGTTACCAGCAAATGCTTTCTTGCAGACGAGAACCACACAGTAAGTATTACAGAAATGTAAGCCATCAAACAGTTAGTAGAAAGCCAAAGGTACTCTAGACTGAAATGTTTAAAGGAAAGTTGCTGAGAGTTGCAAGCTACAGTTCAGGAAGGCAGGAGACATTCTACTGTGAGGCTATCAGTCCTGCAAAGCAAGCAGGCTACAGCTCAAAAAAAAAAGCTGCTCAATTGCAATATTTGCAGAATGTGTTAAAACATAGGTCTGAAGCACTTGAAAAGGCACTTCAGTTTTTACCACCCTACTCAGCAGTGGAGTGGTATCATTCACTTCTCCCTCTCGAGTGTTCATCAAAATGTCTTTGCCACCTTTACTATACTACTTACTGCCTTAACTATTCCACTGTATTTTCTAACACTGAGTAACTATTGCAACTGGATAAACTGTATTTAATGCCTTGACCTGCCCAAATCAGTCTTCAGTCTGCAGTTCAAAATATATGCATCTCAAAACAAACAAGTTTAGGAAATTTGTTTGTAGTATTATCTATCGCACAAAACCTAGTTTATCGAAAATTAACAAAAACATTTGAAATAAAAGCCAAATTTACCCAAACACTTTCAAATTCCATTAAAAGACATGAAAGTGTTATTGTTACAGCAAAATACTACATGCATTGTTATGAAAATTAATCTTCTCTGCATAACTCCAGTGAAAAGCACAGAATTAATGAAGTGATTGTCAGACAGGGGTTGAATATATATATATACCTCTTTTTTTCTGTGATCCAGAATATCATACTGTTTGGATTTGGCATTTGTAGCAATGCTCTGGTAATGACTACTGATCTCTTCAATACCTTCTATTTTTATATGCTGTAGCTCTAAAAGGCTTTCCATAACACTGCTCACGTCTGAAATCTTCTCCAAGCGTTTACAGAATGTATCAAATTTTCCAAATATATAGTTTTCACTAACAATAAAAAAGCAACAGAGGGATTGTTATGCAAATCTATTTGTAATAGATTTAAATGCATATAATTAACCCACATATGTTCTTCCAGAACTGCTACCAAGTTTCACACAAAAAGATCTATGCTGTAATAATTACAAATCATATAAACCTCCCCCCATTTTAAAGTAATGGATATAAAACAGAAAATGCTTAGTCCTTACATATGTCAAATAAAAGCCTTTACCACATTTTACAAGAGCTGCTCTTTTAAATAAGACATTTGCAGGAGATCAAAATGTGAATGTGCAATACTAAGAAATGCTTCATGCTTTCAATGCCAATACAGGCAAAACTCCCCTTGGCATTGTGATAGCCAACGCAGCCCAAAGCTGGTTAAATTCCCATGGAATCTTTTCACTTGTATTCATGAGTCTCATTTGTTAGGATTTCAGACCATACATAAATGTATGTATTAAATTAACACATTCATAAATTTCTGAGTCCCTTTGTACATATGCTAAATCAACAAGCAACAGGCAAAAATCAGTCACTGGTCTATTCCTGAATAATAATAATTAAAAAAAAAAAATCTGCAAGGTCATGTTCTGATTATAATAAATACTACATTTTGATTGAGTATTTAGCTTTTCTGCTAGCCATTGGATGTAATGACATCTCACTTATAAATTCTGTGAATGAATATGATTCAACATCAGAGTGAATTATTTACCTGAAATCAAATTGCCTGTCACTTGGCTTTTCCTTTAGTGCCTCCCTAATTCTCTGGAAGGATGTTTGGTACCGTTCCTTGAGGGAAATGCATTGTTGTATCCTCTTTAGCAATTCTTGCCTGAGAAAAAAGTAGAGAAGACAAAAAAATCATCCTAAGTAGATCTTCAAAAGAGTATAAATAAAAATAGAACCTTCAGCCAGATATGCAACTTTGCAAAATATGAACACAAAATTACACATAACCTGGAAAACGTTCAAAATATGAGGATTACATTATAAGGTTTTGCTTTAAGTTTGCTACCTAGGTTAGATATTTTTAAGTTTAGGTTTTATTGTTACCAACCCAAAACTTTCACAGCATAGTCCAGAAAGGACTTATATCACATAAACTCTGGCTACCGAGTGCCTGCAATTCAGCCATTTCTCATCTTCTATAACCTGGGTATTGCTGATGGGTTTTTCTTGACTTGTTTCTTTGGGGTTTTTTTAAGCAGTCAAGAGGGGAGAGGTATTTTTCCAGACTACAGTAGCCAAGGATATTGGTTATATATAGGCCACAGATAGTCACACCGTATACACAGTTGTTCATTAACCCTGAGATACTACTATACATGAGAAATATAGATGAGGCATGGTAATTAGTCTTAAGCCATTTACCCAAGACAGCTGCTCCACTTTGGTTTTGTCCTTCATCTTACAAAAGATCATCAGGAATTAAAATGATAGTCAAACTTTATAGACTGAAACCACTAACTGGGAAAGACAGATACTTTTGTGGGGACAGCAGCAGCAAATAAGTAAACGAGAAGAATATCGCAAAATAAATTCAGCTAGCCTAAACAAAAGTGTATTCTACTTCTTTTTACATTAATTCTTTAGAATAAACATAGCCAATGCTTAATTGATAACCTGTAATTTCTGAAAACTTCCCTTTACCCACACCAAAATACAGGAGAAATCCAAATAATTTGTTAGATTTACTTTTATGTCTCCCAGCCTGTTACCTCGGTGTCACCTGTGACTTTGCTGGAAATGAAGCACAGACATCCTGACTGTCTATGGCTTGATGAAGCTTGTAATGCATCTCCCCTCTCACCTCAGTAACCATAAACTTACTCCATTTATACTCTTTTAAGAGACTGTTCCAATCATTACTTTTCTAGTTGGTAACTTCAGATGTCATGCTCATCTTCACCACCCACAAGTAGCATTCACCACCTACTTGTTAATTTAAACATTTCTGCACTTCCACTTACGCTGTAGGTAGCACTTGGGAGCAGCTCCTTGCAAGCAGCCATAGAGCAGCTAACTCAGCCCTTCCTTAAAATGTCTCCTTTAGTGCTCCTGGCAGTCATGCCTAGAAAACATCCAGGTGCATGCCAAGTTTTGCTGAAAACACTGTCATTCCACCGGACCAACACTGAATGATTGCTGGGTTTATTCCACCCCTCTATCCTTCCCCCATCTCACCATCCACTTCTTACATTTCAGACTGCAAACTTCCTAGAGCTGAGGCAAACTTCTTGTTCATTTTCTGCCTAACATTTGCTGAAAACCCAGGACTCTTGCTACACTTATAGCTGTAACAAGAATAATAGAACAGAAGAACAAAACTAGTTTTAGGCAAGTTCTAGTAAACTTACAGTAAATCTAGCTTTTTTAATTTCAGGTGCCTCACTGGCACCGTTAACACTCCTCATGTGTTACATGATTCTCCATGGAATACACAGAAAATAGAAGTTTAAGTCCCATCCCATCACCCACACACCTCGCTCCAGAGTACAGTCAAATTGTGATTCTGGTCCTGGTATATATTGTCCCCTTCCCCAAACTGATTTCCTGTCCACTGACAGCAAAATATAAATCTTAGATGGAACTTGGCCAGTCTGTCCTCGGAGCTTCTTTATGAAGAACCTCAGCTCCCAGTTCTAATTGCTCAAGTGTGCTTTGGTCTAAGAAAAGCCGTGAGGGCAAAATATCAAGTGTTGTATACCGAAATATACATTGCATGCTTTTTAATAACAGTTTTTTTCACAACACAGAGCAAACTTGGTTTTGCAGAGTACTTAATTCTACACAAAATTAGTAGCCACAAGCCTAAAATTAATGTGGGAATCAGTGCCTGGTAGGAGGACAAGGGCTTACTTAAATGTACCTTTTAATAATCTTCATGACTAATCTATAATTTTACTTCTAGTGTTAACAAAAGAAGACAAAATTATTAAAATTCTATCACCTGTCCAGATCCCAGATTTTTGAAACACCTTCACATAGATAAATCTTGCATGTGTTAATCATTTGATTAGTGATTTTAAGAAGAAGTGATGTCAAGCGCTCTGACGTGTTGTAGTATGGCGATGTACAGTATATCATACAGACAGTATTCATTAAACTGGGTACGTGTTCCATCATTGTTACCTACACAGGAAAAAATGGGAAAGTCAGCAATTCGAATTTGATAAAAATTAACATGTGACAGCTCTGGGAATATGTCTGTCAGCGAATAAACATCATTTTGATTGCAACTCATTGTTCTTCTAGACATCTCATTATGAACCGGACCATCCAATTCATTTGCAGAGATCTAACACACTAAGACCAGGAGGAACAAATGGGGAATGCGTAATGAATAAATAAATAGGTTTTCTTCCAGACTGGGATTTTCCATAAGAAAACCAGACTGTATTCTTTTTGGCCATGTCCTCCTGTATATGAAGGTGCTGTAGTCTGCTTTGCAAAGGAATATGCTACCTGAGGAAAAGAACTCATACGCTGCTACAAAAGAGTTGGCCTGCTGTAGGAAGGACAAGAAGAAAGTTGGTCTTTGCTCATTTTGCCTAGATCTGTACAGAGGAGAAACTCCAAAGGGGAGGCAAGGCAACAATTAACCTCTCTCTTACTGAGGATACTGAACTATAGTTTTTTGTCCCACAGAAATGCATGCAAGACAGATACACTGAGAACCCAGAACAAGAGACAGTGACTGGTCTAGAAAAGGATAAAAAATGGATGACATCTAAAAGTCAAGGCCAAAGTGGCAGAACGATGAATATTTGCAAAAGAAAAGCAGTGTAAAGTAACACAATGGATGCAAACAGAGTTCAAGCTTTGAAAACATTATTTAGAAAATTTGTAAGCAACTGGATTATGGGTAAATCTTTTGAATGGTGTAAATTCAGACAGTTTTGCCCAGTGGCTGTATCTCAGAATTCATGCTCTCACTTAAAAAAACGAAATCTGAAACCCACATGGTTATGAAAATAAATATTATATTTTGAGCCAGGATGAAAGTAAATACATGCTACCTGCAAGAGAAACAGCTTTAACCTGTAAAATAAGTGGAAGCTGCTCAATTTCAGCTCAACTGAGGCTTAAGATCATTTAACGATATTTGCATTGAAATTCTCACAAGTAACTGCTAACTGAAGCATGGAGTCAAGAAGAGGTACCACATGCAAGACCAACCTCACACCCACAGTTCAGCTTGATATCACATTTGGAAAAATACCATCTTTTGCTAACTTTTCTCACATCCTTCAATTATCTTCTGGAATGACAACTGCCCCCTACACAAAAAGTAGTATTATCTCTGGCTTATTCAAAATCCCTAAACTCAGTTCACTAATGCCAAGGGAATTAAGCTGTCCACTGATCATTAAGCATAGCAGTTAAATACTGAAAGGAGAAATATGTTTCTTTCAGCAGCAAAAGCCTTTCCCTTCTTTTCCGAATTTCACACTGAGTGCCTTTAGAGTACTACTTACAGGCGAAGCTTTGGCAAGTGGACCAAAAAATTTATCCAATGCATATAGATATCTCACGTTGTCCTTAGCTTCATTGGCAGCAATTGTTACATTACCATCCTGAAGGGAGAAAAGAAAAGAAATAGAATTAATAGTGTTAAAACTTAATGAATGGGTTCTTGGCTCTTCTAAAATACATGCTATGACAAGCCTACGACTCCATCTTGCAAACATTTTGTCACAGAAGTATTCTCAAATAAGCCATTTCTTCTTTACATATGAAATAACTGCTTCCACATGCAAAAATCGTTCAGATCTACCTGCCAATAAGCAACATTTTGGATGTGATTTAGAGAAACTTCTTGCTTAGACAGCCAAAGTTTTTCCCTCCTGATGGAAGTACAATAGTGTGGTTTTGGTAACCTGACATACATTTTAGAATAGTTTCAGCATGGTACCCATTCCTCAGAACTTAGACAAGATCCCTGAAATGTACCAGGGAGTTTCCCATCATTTTTTTAATAAACACCTGTTAGGGCTAACACACTCACAACTAATGCCTGTATATCCTCCTGTTCATGACAGGTGGAACTATCCAGTACTGAGGATGTAATTCTGTATGAAGAAAGAAATCTAGTTCATCATCTTTAGCTTGTACTGGCTCTGTACAGACACTCTCATCCAAATGCCATTTATCGTAAAAGTCTGCATATATGTTCAGCGCAAAATAAAACTTCAGCAAGGTGAAACCGTTTTCCTGGTCTACTTTCAGAACATTAGAATACCTTCTTAAGTGCTAGAAGTTCTACATTCTGGTGTTTTGGGGGGTCTGACTGGCTGTACATGGTCTACAGCTGATTTTCTGGCTTTTGAACGATGATTTTACATCACAGATATCCACTTATCTGAAGTGGCAGTTATGCTGCAACAAGCCAGCTGTCAATAATTCTAAAAGCAATATGATGGATTTTCAGACATCTCTACAGTTGGCCTGCACAGAGTACAGCTGGAGAGAGACACAAAAATGTTGTATTGCTGAAATGCTTTACTTTTGCACAACCCTTCCGCCGGTTGTGTTAATGAAAGACACATTACAGAGGCATCGACTTCTTTTTGAGTTACCTATTTAACTTCAGATTCATTGGTGTTATATTTTTCAACAAAAGGAAAATAAACCCCAGCACAAAACCAGCATAAACACTCAAAACTATTTTTAGAACTGTGTGTTTAGTTCTCTGTGTTAGAAATACAGTACTGTACTCATTTAAAACTTTTATTCAAACATAGTAATTACCAGCTCTTTCCACTGCTTCAATGTCTTTGATCTTGCTGCCTGAAGAATAGTTATAATTTTCTTTACTCTTGAACTCTTGATCTCATCTAAAAGACTTTGAAGGAAGAAACATATTTAATACTCTCTTTGGAATTAAAGTTTACATTTATTTTTAAGAAGGTTTTTTTTTTTATTAAACTGTGTATGAAATAATGCAGGGATTTAACCTGTTAAATGATGACATTCTTGTCTTCCAGTGTTCCAGCTCTGCAGATGGACCAGTGTCATCAGCTTCTCTTCTCATTTGTTCACTCTTCACCAAAACTTGTCTGATCTGTTTGATCCAAATCATGAGCACTTCTTCAAGTTTCTCAGTGACCTCTGTGTTACTGCCTTCAGAATTATATAATGGGACAGTCTCATAAGTACCAAGAAATAAATACAGATTTTTAACTACAGAAGTGCAACTTCTTTTCCTTGGCAAACATAGCCGATCCTCTGTGTAAGGTGAGTATATTCAAACCACTGACCAACAGGAAAACATTAAGACTGTTAACAACAAGATGCACAAACATACAACTTGTACCTACCCACTCTGTTACTACTGCATATCCTTTACAATGGAAACATAAAAATACCAGGAGTTCATAAGAAAAAAAAAAATTACAGTGATGTGGTTTTGGGAGAATCACGTTTCAGGAGTCCAAGAAATATATTAACTATTACGTGCACCTTTTTCTGCTTGTATTTTCATAAGAAAAGGCTTACTTCTTCAAATTTCTCTCTTTCTGCCATTACAGCCTATTCCACATTAAAAGCATCATGTAATGGACACCATTATTAACAGTCACAAAAAACCTCTACAGTTTAGAAGTCAGCACATCTTTTAGATTGCCCTAGCAGCTGAAACAGTCCAGCTCACTTGGTGCACTATATTTAGGACTCATGCAGCTTGTACCACGAAATGGATGTCCAGCCATATAACATTATTTTCTCATCTTAAGAGTCACTAGTTCTGTGGAAGTTGTCCTGCCATAAACCCATGTACAGTTGAGAGGGACTGCAGAAGTATTGGCTAGTTTGGCATTATTTCACTCTGAAAACCCATGTGGTGATAAGAAATGGTCACAAGTTAGTGTTCAAAGACACATAACTACTCTTTTTCTTACATATACAAATATGTACATAAATTTTTATAAATACTTCTTGTTTTGACTCACAGCCCTCACAGCCAGACTTACTATTGGACAGGATTTCCCCAGTATCAAAGGAAGTGAAGAGTATACACATTAGCATGTGGCTTCACTCAGCAACAACTTTGCCAGCAAACTAGAAGAAACACAGGCCACTGCATACATCATATGTCAAGGAATTACCTAACCCTTTAAGATCTATGAAATAAAGAATGGGTAAATGCTTGATGATTTTATGATTACACAGTCAGAAACGTGGCAAGAGTAAGAAAAATGTACATAGCTCAGGGAAGATGAATTAATTCTTCAAGGTAAATTTTTACTAATGGCATAACATTTATTTTATAAACAACATCATTGTGTTTGCTTTGCTGTAGGAATTACTCACCTGCAGTTATGTAGTCAGATGGGTTCTGTAAGTTGCTGATATAAATATCAATATCCACTTTCGTGAGCTCAATTTTATCTTCTATATTCTGTCTTGATGATGACAGAGTACCCACAAATTTATCCACTGAATAGAGAAAGTCTTGTATCTGGCTGTTCTTCAAGCCTTCTTTCACAGCTCCCCAGTTCTGTTTATTTTATGATTTATACAAAAAAAAAAAAAAAAAGGCAAAGGTAAAACAAGGGTCACACTTTCTTCTAGAAGACAAAAGGTATTATATTTTTCATTAGAAATGTATTTCTTATTCATGGCAATATATAAAGATTTAACAGTATGTCCTTTAAATAAACTCACCAGTACTATAACACAATTACTTTAAGTGTGCATTGATTTATTTATTCTGTTAGGCAAAAAGAGACAAGCATGAGGCTCTGTAGAAATAAAAACGTCTCCCTGCTCTCATTGTCCTCACACTGAATTACTGCCTTTTTTTCAGTTTGATTTGGCACACTGTGAACAGAGGAAACAGACTCTAATCTCCCATCCTGCTCCTGGCTCAGAGAAAATGGCAGCATATGGTAAACAGCATATGTCACCACCATTCTCAACAGACACTGAGCTTTAGCATATTTCCTACCTCTGAACATGTACTTCTAGAGGCAACAGAATGAACTGTGATGATTTCTGAGTGCCACAGAACAAGGACAACTTGAAGAAGCTGCATGCCCTGGCTGTGATATAGTGCTTGCTGTCCACACTCTAGAATAAAATCATGGACTGATCTTTTGTGGTGCCAGAAGAACTTGGCACTTCTTTCAACTCAGGCTTAATCTAGTTTTATTAAATCATCACAGTTTTGCCCTAGTATAGCTGCTGTGCTGTGTTCACTTCTGTCATGAGCGTTACACTTGGGATTATTGCTTGAAAATAATAAATACATGAATGTCAAACACGTAAACAAACTGCATGACTCTCATAAAGGCCTATATTGGACTTGTATCTCTTTGTATGTCTGTTTTATGTTCACCTGATGCACAAAGTGGACTGCAGCAGCCACTTGCTTTCATTCCAAATGTTCTCAAGAAAAAACAGCAGCTATTCAATTACCTGCTGGGATTTAAGTGCTGGTACCATGATCTGGGACAAGAAAAATTCCAGGCCCTGAAGGATACTTCCATTAGTACAATCAAATATGCCAAAATTCACCTCCTTCAGGAAGAAACAAAAGTTAGCAGAGAACACATAAACTTCTTCAACACCATAATATCTGAGTGAAATTCAGACACATGGCAGGCACATACGGACCATGTAGTCCATAACTACATAGTTTCCATGAGGATATTGCCCCCCCCACCTGCTGAATTTGGATTCAACATAGACTAAAATTCATTTGGGCATTCCAAGACTTGCCCTTGAGTCCCCAAAAACATCATTCCCATATTGTAGCAACACTCCAGCAATCAATTAAAATGAAACATTTAACATCAACGCATTAATTAACCTTAAGACAATTATATGTCTGTATTTGTCTTTTAGAGGCACAGCTTCCATCTATCACAAATGCCTAAAAAAGGACAACAAACACATCAGACAAAAAAATTCTCTCTCAGTTGCACAGTTTACTCCAGTTCATTGTTACTGTGAAGGAAGCAGCAGTGAATTGTTGAAGCTGGAGAGTCAGTACTGGTGAGTGGAATTTTACTGCAGAGCTCAAAGCACAAATTGGAAGAAGTGAGTGACTGCATCTTTTCCCAACACTATTCATTTATGGACTGGTTGGCGTTTCTGTTACTGGCATTTTGCCTACGAATGTATACGTTCTGAATATGGGTCATGTGCTTTCTACAACCCACACTGCCAGCCATTTAGGCTCTGGGTATCTCTCTTGTTAGCAGAGTCTCATTCAGGACTTCTGGACTGAACAAAGATACACTCATTTTGTGTACATCATCATGAGCGCCTCACTGATACGGGGGAAAGCGTAGAGAGTTCTGCCCTGAAAGCTTCTACTACCAGCTTTAGCCCATGGAAAGGGCTACATTCCAGAGTATTTCAGGAATGGCAACTACAAGTGAACTTTTGGAGAGGCTTTGACATTCTTGGTTGGCTATTTGATTATTAATATCACTAGTGTATTTCTTGCTAGTTCCCCACTTGCATGCCAAAGAAGAGAATTTAAGACTACCAGTTGCTATGCATGGGGGGAATACTACTTCCTAACAATATTAGTTTTTTAATCCCACTAGAATACAAGAAGGTAGAAAGTCCTTTCTCAAAAAGTGGATGAATTATGGATAACAATGAAGATACTGTTCTTACTCTGTTCCATCTGAAGTTTAAGCATGAAAAAGCATGATAGTCTCAAAGTCAAGTCATAGAGAAACGCAGTTCCCATTAAGCAATGCTTGAAGAAGTGCTTACGAGGAAGAAGCCCAAGTTTCTTTGCATGTCTGAACAGGTCCCTGTGAGGCAATGTCCCCAAGGGTTTTAACAAGGAAATGCCCTGTTCCCAAGGGTTTTAAACAAGGAAATGCCCCAAAACTACTTCATTCTGCAAAAGGGTGTGCTAGCAAAATAGCAGAGGGAAAGGACAGAAGGTTAATGAAGCAAGGAACTGACACCTATTTTCCCTCTTCAGATGCTTTTCACAATGCCAGTTTCTCCCATAAAAGGAATGATTGCATTTGTTGTAGGGAGAGCATGAGGTAGGGAAAATTCTTTCGCGACTTCTGTCTGTTCACGAGAATCTCTAGGACAAAGTCAACATACAACCTGATCCATTCCTTTCCACAGGACACTGAAGATTCAGCTATTTCTCTTGAGAAATAGGGGACAAATCAATTTATTTCTAGGGAGGGTCCCAGATTGTCCCTCCAACTAGTTCTACACACTCTTCAGGACAAACCAAAATTTGCCAAGCCAGTCTGAGCCTGAGCTCCAAGCCTCATCAGTGTGAAGACCAGCTGAATGAAGGTAGGGCTTGGTTTACCTTCTATAGCACCTAAAAATATTGACTCACATAAAGAACGAAGTTTTAATGAAACTGCATGACAGCCCCCGACAAAAGAAGATGATCACAAGAGAACCACAGAGAGAAGGCACCAAGGCAGCTAACCACAGAGTTTGGACAACCATTCTGACAAGTACCCAACTGAAACAGAGCATCAGGACTGACAGGGTGCAAGAAGAGGAAGCCTAGAAATTACTCTTGCACCTCTGGGTGAGGTATCTGTAAAAATGTTGTTATAAAGAAAGTGACTGACAGAAAATGAAGTACTAATTTCCATGACTGTAGCTGAAGAACAAACTTACTACAGCTTTGGCCTGCTCACATGGAACACACCAACCTATTAGCGACAAATAAGGAGAAAATCTGTACAGCATAAAAATGCGTGCATCAATATTTTTGTGATATGATTTTAGGCTTACTACATTGTCTATTCTTCGATGTTACTAGCTGGATGCTTTCTGTAAAAAGCTATTGCAAATAATTCCCAAGAATATGAGTATCTCTGAAAGTCAGAAAACGCTGTTACAGTACTTTTCTTATATGCAACTAAAGATATGAGGCACAGGAAAACCTTACTTCAGTTAGTTTCAGTAGGAACTTTATTTCTAATTTTTAAAAGGTATAGTTATTTAAGTGCGGCATTTTCATAATTTAGGCTCATTAATTAAAAGGAAATCTCCTGGTTTAGGTCTTTATTCCCTACTTCGATGAAAAAATATATTTTTAATGAGTGATTGATAATTAATATTTATTAATTAAAATCATGTTTTAATAATATTGTAATAGTTAATTTTCAAATTATTAGAACATCACTTTATCATAAATAATTATTCAGATGAAAAGAACTGCTGTTAAACGCAGAACTAGAAATTTTCATGAAAGCACTCCTCACTTCTTTTTCTGATTCCAGTTGCATGAGTAAAGGTCTAAGAAAATATGAAGTACACTGCAAACATTGCATGATTTTGGTCTCACCTGGAAAATGTTTGATGCAGTTAAAACTTTTTCTGATGTCCTTAGGAAAAATGCACAAGTTCCTGTGAAGTTCTGTAAAAAGGGTCAAAATGCATACAGTTAAAAAGGATCATGTGTACAGTAAAGGTAATTAACTTAACAACTTTAAAATGTACTGAAAACAAAACTGTAAAAAAATTAATTACTCAAAAAGGTAGTAAAGTGTTTGGAGGGTATTTGAAAAGCTGCCCCTCTCAAATCCAACACTCTTTTTTTCTCCATCTGAAATAAGAACATCAAAAATGCCCTTCTGAGAGACCAGTCCAGTATTGCATCTCCACCAAGAAAACTCCACTGAAGTGATTACGCACTAGGCCACTTCCTGGGCTCCACTCCTCATCTATTTCCTGACCAACTGCAACCATTTTATGACAGCTGTTAGATGACATATTCCTATCTAGTTATTTTAGTAGCCATTTATGGACCTATCCATGAGACTGTCTAATCCCTTTCTGAATCTGCCAACATAAGTTTACTGAAAAAAACATCGAAAATACCCTCAGCTTTCAAACATGTAAAGTATTTTTCATACATACAGACCAGAGTGGATCATTTTAGAATGATATTTATTTCATTTTTTACAAAAGAGAACTTAAAGATTACTAAAAACTTATGATCCAAATACTTTTTAACATGTATTTTCATCTTCTGGATGGAGTGAAGTAATGTAGAAGTACTGCAAGTCAGTACTGCAACAATGCTTATTTTTAATTTATCAAATCTAATAATAATTCAACTACCAAAAATTAGAAATGCTATTCCAATTCGTCCAATTGGCAGAGCAATGAACCTCACTTCTCCTCTGAAAGCAAGAAAGAATTCTTCAGCTCTGTCTTTTCTAATATAAATATGTTAACATAAGCTCACTGGGGAGCGGGGAGAAGACATCACCATGCCTTATTTAAAGAAAACTGTATATGGTACACCTGATTCTCCCCCAAAAAAGATGGAAAGAAAAAAAATCAGAAGTCTTAATGACTACTCTGAATACACTGCTGAATAATGCTTAGACATTACAGTGAAGAGGTTGTTACAAGAATTTGAATGAAATAAAATCATTATTAAAGGTATTTTTGGAGTAATGTGCAGTATTATTATATGAAAGGAAATCAGAAACCACTGAAGAACTGCACTTTTAAACTAGAAGCACACGAGTACTGGAAAATACTTAAACATGCAGTCATTAACAAAACGTTAGGATTTGTGATATTTTAACAAGGGTTTATCTGACCTGCTCTCCTCTCAGACATTTAAATCCATTAATCACTACTTCTTTACTGCTGAATTCCAACTCAAGAAATGTTGGGAGATCTTACATTACAGGAACACGGACTAAGTACTTACATAGCTGTCCAAAAATTACAAAAAGCTGCACAACTGTTATGTTTTTTTCAATATTCTACTTTTCAAACGTCATCTAACATATTTTTCAACCATACCTCAGTAGAACCCATGGTAAAAAATAACTTCTTCTGAAGCAAGCTGGTTGTTGACCCATCTGAACTCAACGATGCATTTGACTTTTGCTAGCAATTAAATTGTAAATAAGAGGTTAATAAAATAAAAACTATTAGCATACAAATAACTCATCCTATTTGATATATGTGAATTATAACCAAGATCATTCTGAATCAGTTAGTAATTCCCAAACAGAAATTGTGAGGTTGGCTTTATCTGGAGAATAAGCTTGGCATGAATCTCACAATCGCTAGTAAACAGTTTCATAGCCCTTTTCTTTCAGAAAACACTCAAAGAAGAAGGGGGAAAAAAATCATAGAAAAACTAATGAAATTAAATCTGAAGTGTTTCCTAGAGCAACTTCTTCCACAGAAACAAATGATGTCATGCAGAAAAAGTCATGTGCCTGGTCTGCAAAGTCATCATGTAATTGTGAGCAGGACTCAAAAGGAAAACTCTCAGCTATATCCTGCCAACAAGGCAAAGAAACTTAGTTTTCTGCCCACGTCTTTAACATCACTCCAAAAAACTTTCTCTGTGAGAAGCCTTGCTGCCATTGGTCTCTCTCCACTAAGATGTATCTACAACCCCTTCTCTTTGAAGCAGCAAAAAAGTTTAAGCCTAATAAAGACCTGTTTGCCTCTGATCTTCTGTCACACACTATGGAAAATAATCTGTTGAAACTTGGAAGAATGTAACAGAAAATTATGTGGAAGAAGCCTGCAGGTATATTTCTCTCTCATGTTTGAGAGGCCTCTTACTGAAAGTCAAATATTCAGCTCCTGCTAGACTAAACGTGTGACGTATGATACAGTGGTGACTCCCCACTTCCACCCCAAATCAGTATCTTCTAACCCCTGTGCACAGTCTCAAGTGAACATCATGCATGCAAGCTGGTGAAAAAGAGAGGTGAGCAGCACTGAAGAAAAGATAGTTGACAAATCTTGGGAAGAACATGTCTGCTAGGTCAGGCTAATGATCTGCCCAGGCCAGCCTACAACAATGGCCAAAAATTAATAAGAACAGGGCAAGTATGTAGGACACTGCCTCTGAGACATATCCAATCCTCTGATCTGTTTGACACCAAACCGTTGACAGAACAGTCGACGTAATGAGAGCTCTTGACTCGCCAGAATGGGGTGGAAGATGCTACAGATGGCATTCATTCTTTCCATCAGAGACATTTATTTTTATGCTAAGCTGCTTGTGCAACAAAACTTTGATAAATTCTTATTTTACTGGTTAAAAAGACCAAAATAAAACAAAAGCAGATGCAGAAATGAGATGCTTCGCTCAACCCAAGCTAGGCATTTATTTCTGGCTTGTAAGTTAAGGAAAACATTTTCAAGGTTTTGATTTTCATCTTGTTTTAAGTCAGAGAACAACATGTTCGTCCCAGAAATGTGCAGGCACGGTCCCAATGAAAGGGAAAACTGATTAAATTGTTTTGACAGCTGAGCTGATTCTGTGCTTTGCAAAGTCTCTAGGCAATTCCAGTAACACTCACAAGTTCTTTTAAGTTATATGAATTGCAATGAACCTGCAATTCATTCTATGAATCTGTAATTAATTCTTGCGCTTAACTGACGGTCGTGCATTATCAATGAGTTTTTTCTCCCCCACAAACCTAAAATACCACCACATGGTGAGTGAGCTCACCCTAACATGGCTCCTCAATGGCATAACCCAAAAGGACTGAGGAAGGACTTCTACTGTTCAGGAAGCCTGCAACAGTCCTGTTTGGCAATTTCAAGGTTGCTTGGCACATTCTGATATCACACACTGAGTGCAAGCTGAACAAATTATTTTGTCTTTTATGAAGAGGCTTCTCCTTCTAAAATTGAGAGAAACACCTTGGGGACAGCAGCTACCTTATTTCCAGTTACAGTTTTCCAAGCTTAAGATTATTTCCTGCAGAATGAGAACGTAAAGCCACCTTAATTTAGAAATAAACCACATAATTTTTCAGCCTCTTGAATCAGTGTTTTGTCCATAGTGGAGCTGGTGTAGTTCAAACCAAAAGGAGAAGACAAAACAGTTCTCACACAGACCGTTCCCCCCTTCCTATTATGTCAGCCAACCTAGCATTTTTAAACTCCGAATACTGGGAACATGATGCCTTAATTATATATAATTTTTGAAGTGTAGATTTTTCCTTTACTTGGCCATTTTTAAGTTTTCTTTTATGAAAACAAGAATAGTATCACACCACGCCACAGAGCATTCTCCTGTTTTCACCTAAGATGTCAGTATCTAAACAATGAGATCCAAGTTCTTTACACATTGGCATGCATAGCACAAAAATCTCTCCTAAGATTTTCTCAATTTTGCAACAATCGTGATCTTTTTAAAACATGCAACTTTGCTTTTGCAGAAGTAATAACAGAAAAAATACCTGCAATACATCTTGGTAAAAGAAGAGCAACTTTTTAAGTCCATTAGGGGCAAAGAATTGTTCTATAAGCTGAAACTAAAAACAAAATTACAATTGTAGTTACAATTGTGAAGTAGTTTCAAAAGACTGGTAATTTTGGAAATATATTAAATAATAACAACTCAATTAATATTTACCTTGTCATCACAAATAATGGCCTCCTCCACTTGCTGCTCACTTAAGCCTATCCCATCTGCTAATCTTGATATCAAATACTTGTGTCTTTCATCTATCTGAGCTCTTCTCTCCTCTTTGGTAACTTTGGCTTGCTTGGCTAGTTCTTTCCTGGTTTCACTGGAAAGTACTATACTTTTCTTACCAGTTGTCTAGAAAATAAAAGGTTGTTAGAGAGACTCTTTTTCCTTACTTAAGGATTGTATTTTATATTCTTGATTTTTAAGCAGGTTTTATAAATTACTTCAAGCAGGAACACAAAAAATTGCATTTCAGGAATGCAGAGGGAAAAGATGAGTAATTATTAATACGTTAGGCTACAATTATTTCTCAGTATAAAGCTGCTACAGTGGAAACTTTAGAGCAGAAACTTCAGATCAGGATCTCAGAATCAGATGTGGATCCAGGCCTAGGTCACAATACAAACTTAACACTTTAAAGGTTCTAATTCAAATCTCAGCTTTGTGAATCCAGCTTCCAAACTTCTGTATGTCCATATCCCAGATCTAGGAACAGATCTATCTCTATACTGCCAGCATTTTAATACATGGTATCAAGTTATTACCTCCAGGGAAATAAGTTTAGCCCCAGAGTCATGGAAGGCAAGGACAGGGACTGGGAGAATGAAGAGCCACCCATGGTCAGCGAGAATCAAGTTCTGGAACGCCTGAGGAACCTGAAGGTGCACAAGTCCTTGGGACCTGACGGAATACATCCGCAGGTCCTGAAAGAACTGGTGGATGGAGTTGTGAAACCTCTATCCATCATATTTGAAAAGTCATGGCAGCCTGGTGACGTTCCCGATGACTGGAAAAGGGGAAACATAACCCATCTTTAAAAAGGGAAAAACGAAGGACCCAGGGAACTATAGGCCAGTCAGTCTCACCTCTGTGCCTGGCAAGATCATGGAGCAGATCCTCCTGGAAACCATGCTAAGGCACATGGAGAATGAGGAGGTGATTGGTGACAGCCAACATGGCTTCACCAAGGACAGATCATGCCTGATGAATATGGTGGCCTTCTACAATGGGGTCACAACCTTGGTGGACAGAGGACGGGCAACTGATGTCATCTACTTGGACTTGTGCAAAGCTTTTGACACTGTCCCGCATGACATCCTTGTCTTGAAACTGGAGAGACATGGATTTGATGGATGCACTGCTCGATGGATAAAGGAAATGGCTAGATGGTCGCACTCAGAGAGTGGTCGTCAATGACTCTATGTCTGAGCGGAGACCAGTAACGAGCAGCGTTCCTCAGGGGTTGGTGCTGGGACCGGTACTGTTTAACATCTTCATTAGTGACATGGATGATGGCATTGAGTGAACCCTCAGCAAGTTTGCTGATGACACCAAGCTGTGTGGCACAGTCGACACACTGGAGGGAAGGGATGGCATCCAGACGGACCTGGACAGGCTGGAGAGGTGGGCCTCTGCCAACCTCATGAAGGTCAACAACACTGGGTCAGGGCAATCTCAAATACA